AAATCAAGATTTTATGAGAAAAAAAAGAACAAAGTAAAGGAAATTCAAAAAATATAGGGGCTGAACCCCTACTTTTGTTATAGGAAAGAAGAAAAGAAAAGGTGAAAGAAGAAGAAGAAGAAAATGTGTTGATTAGACAAAATTTTAAGTTCTTCCTTTGCTTATAGGTTCAGGTTTTGAAAATTTTGAGGGTTCAATCAAGGATCAAAATTTCGATAAGATACGCATACGCCCCATATTGGGTGTATTGTATTGTCTCTTTGGGGTCCCGATACCTGTTTACATGTGTCTTTGGGGACCCATTTTTTTAAATAATATATTTATATATAATGAAATTGAAAACCAAGGAAATAAAAAAAGGGGGAGTATTGTTATAAGTACCGATACACCTCTGCCAATACACAGAGGTGTATCGATCGATACTGTGAACCATGGGTTAAATACAGCAGTTAGCAATGTTGCATTGGTTAAACCTAACAAAATAAGAAAATCATAAAAAGAAATTAGTATATAAACACATAAAATGAATATTCTAGTTTAATAATGTCTTCTTTTATAATTATAATGTCAAAAAATTAAAAATATAAAAGTATTTTATAATCCAGTGCACAAAACTGCTAGGCGACTGGGCGAGGCGAGCCTCCAAGGGCGCCTTGTTGCCTAGGCGTCGCCTTGACAACTATGATCCCTCCATTGATTAATGATATCAGTTATCTTTTCTCAAAAGAAAAAAAATAAACAAAAACAGCTTTAGAAAGATGCAGGCTACCCTTTAAATAACATTTAGTCTTTTAATGTATGGGACGCGTTGGAAATGAGCACGGATCTGCCGCACACAAAACGCTGTGTGCATGCTATGCACAGGATACTATAGCTGTTCGTTAGGAACATCTCCCCATGAATGACAACATACAAGTATGGGAGATGTTTCCCTATGTGCGGCTGTAGCTGTGCATAGTGTGCACACAGGTTTGCAAGCAGCAGATCTTGTCTAGTTGGAAACACTTGGACAGTTCAATGAACGCCTGCAACACAGCATGCATTTCAAATGATCCTCAACGAAAGATGTGTGCTCATGGTGGAAAGGCGTTAAAAAACCACTCCCTTTATGTTTTCAAGTTTGGATATAAAGTTGCACTAGCCTATAACTAGACATTCAAAACTCTTCCAAAAATCTTGATTGTGCATTATATTGCCTTTTTCTTTTGGAAAGTTTTACATCATATAGAATTGCCAAATTAATTCACTCTCAGAGTGATCTGTTGCACTGCTTTTGGGTATTTTTATCTTTTAATGGGGCCCATTAAGCATTGGGTTTTCACCTATGTATGTATGATCACATCCCTCATTTTTTATGAGTAGTGTGATCTGTACACATCCCATTTTGATAAATTGGTCAAAAGGTTCTTGGGTGGTGTGCCTGATTTTTCAGAATTTGGATGTACCTTGAATCCACACTCCTTTCAAGCTGAATAGCAAGGTTGTATGTTTTGGCATTCAGTTTTTCATAGCCAGTATTTTTAACCTTTTCATGCGAAAGAAAATTTATGATGAAGCATATGATGTATCCCATTAACCCATTTCTTACTTTTCCGTTACCCTAACTTGATAAAGCTGATCATAACTGTGATGTAAATATATCTTTGCGTTGTTTTTTATTTGTTCCTATCAATATTACATTGATATGATTTGACTGGTATCTTGGCTAAACAGGGGTCTACAGGGATCAACTGTTTTGGGCAGATCTGTGATAGGGATATCTAGCTTGTAAAGGGTTCGATTATTTTTTTTTACAGAAACTCACTGTTATGTTTTCTTCTTAAATTAATGAATTGAACCGATTACTTACTCAAAAAAAAAAATTACATTGATATGGGTATGAGCGTGTAAATACTATATGGTTATGAGGTGTCCTTAACTGAATGGACCTGAGAAAATAGGATTGAGGGATTTAATGGATGTGGTTTAATTTTATATTATTTGTTATTTTTCATATACAACACACCAATTTATGGAAAAGAGAGCAAAATAAATATGGAAACATAAGTATACAACTCAACGTATACAACCGTAAATAATAAAAATCACAATTTATCAAGATTTTACAAGAATACGAGATTTTATATCACATTTTATGGATTTGACCAAGAGAAAGAGTCTCCTTAAGTGTTTTGTCTCAGTGTTGTGGTTGTTGCTACTCAGGTTAGTACATGATTTATTGAGGATCTTAAGTATATGTAATATGAAGATGCTGACTATAAATTAAATTAGATGGATATAAACTATAAAATGCTTCCAGAACTTTCTATTAAAAAAAACTAAACTATCTTGCATTGGTGCAGGCTACAACAGTCAAGCCTGATGCAGTTGCTGAGCAAGCTATCAAGAGACACAAAGTGGGGCCTGTAACTCCTGCCAAAATTGCAACTCCAAGGTCCTCAAATCCTTCTACTACTGGGACACAACCAACAGATGAGAAAACCATAGATAGTAACAATTCTGGGGATATTATTGCATCTCCCAATTCGAAAACAGGCTCATCTGTGGTGCTGCAGTCACCTAGGAGTTTGAAGCAGCCAAGTCGTTCGTTAGCACCAGTAGGACCTCCTTTTTTTGTGAATAGGTTCAAATTGGATAACCGCCCTACAACATTTCGAATTCTTCCGCCTTTACCAGCTGATTTTGCAAATGTGAGTCTGTGTGTGTGTGTGTGTGTTTGGACTATGGGATTCTAATCATGTTAGTTCTGGAAAGTTTGGGCTTGTTAGTAGTTGGTATACTTATATTTTTCAATTCAAAGGCTGGTTTATTTTGATGCATGGTCTGGGTGATGAAAAGAGGGGGGATTGCCCCTAGAAACAATATCAGGTGGCCAGACATAGTATTACAATGGATACGAATTGTGATTATCCAAGATACTGATTTCCAATTGGTCACTTATCATGTGGCAAACCATGGGAGATACAAACAATTCCGGTGCTTATTGACAGCCATCAGCGTTATAACTTGAAAATAAATTTGAACCTCTATCAGGTGTTGTGAATTTGTATCCATTTATACCAATAAAAAAATGTTTCCGTTTATAGTTTTTTTTTTATTATAAATGATAGGTGCAATAGATAGGAGTTTTGTAATTGTCAGGTAAATTGTTGATGCAATAGATGGGAATTTTGTCATTGTCAACAAATCGATACATGTCCAAAATGTCTCCTAGGGTGGGGCCCAGCATATGAAATCATGAGCAGTACTTCCTGTGCATTGTGTCCTGGTTCTGCTTCTTGACAACCATTATTATGCATAACTTTACAGTAAACTTGGTTCCTTTTAATGGATGCTGAAGATCTAGTTTCCCATTTGTATGGTCACTAGAAAGAAAGTTAAAATTTTCATCTCTACATATTGATTATGTAACAGGGTAAAATCTGGTAGGATCAGTATGACTGGAACTGATGCAATGATATCTGTATGTCCTAGGTTGCTGTTTTGAAGGAACACTTTTCAATATATGGTGATCTGTCTGCAGTTGAGCTGGAAGGTTCAACAGATACACATACTGGTACTGATGGGTCAGGGCCATCAAAAAATTGTTCTGCTCGCGTAACTTTTACAACACGTCGTTCAGCTGAGAGAGCATTTGGAAATGGTAAATGTTGGCAAGGTCACAATTTACAGTTTGTGTGGGTGACACTCTCCAGTAATACCAATAGTGACCATGGCAGACGAGAAAATTCTCCAGCACCTACCCCCAGGGGAATTGCAGATGCTGAAATACCAACAAAGAATGTCTCGTCTGCGTGTTCTTTATCAAGTACAGGAAAACCAACAAACACTGTTTCTAAGGAAGCACCTGCTGTTGAAAACGAGGAATCTAAGGATTTGGATGGAATTAGTGGTAGTGTTGATTGTATGGAACTGGTAGAAGCTTGTCAATCAAGTTCTGCTGCCATGGCATCATGTGAAGAAAGGTCACCTAAAGAAGATATTTTGATTGTTGAGGATGACCAAACTGTTAGATCAGAAGATATTGGTAAGCTTCATGGTGTTTAGATTCTAATTTCATTATCCTGCTTTGCATTTGTATAAACCAGTTTTCAAGGTTTTCTTCTTTAATTCATGGTGCAAATGAGCATTTTGATGCTAATGGGAGGTTCGATTTTTAAATGCACTGGTTGATAATAATTAGTTAATTAATTGTCTAAATGCTGTATTTCTGTGAGCTGGGGATTCAAGCCAAAGAATATCTGAGTTATATTTCATTTATGAGGGTGTCTGGCTCCATTTATGTTTATTGAGTAAACGTTTTGTACTTGTGTGGCTGCAAAACCGAGCAAAGCAATTAATGAGGACATTTATGACACATAGGCACCATTAGGCACCACATCAGCGAAGTGCCAATAAACGCCTACCTGTTTCCGGAAGCTCCAAAATGAAGTTTCCTGAAACGGGAGAGGCGCACAGAAATCGATGTTTGCAAATACGTACGGATGCAGTTAATGAGGCCTTTGCTGACGGGGTGCCTATGTGGCAGCGTTTACTCAGCAAATGTAAACGGAACCAAACACATACTATGCCCCTAATTTCAGGTTCCTAGTGTTTTTTTTCTCACTTGTTAACTCTTAGATGCAGTTTCATGAACACTGGAACTATTTGATAAATCCTGGATCTTTATTGAGCAAAATATATAAAATGAGAAAGTAGAGAAAGACTGAATCTTTATTTGAGAAATCCCATTAACACTATTTCTTGCATTTACAGGGAATTTTAACACTCAACTCTCACATTCCATGGCTGAGGGTGTCTGAATATGTGAATTCCTACAGTTGCTTCTTAAGAGGTTTAGTATTTCACTCCCACAATTTCTTTGAACTGAAACAGAAATTCTTACTGTAATATCTGCAGGTATTCATGAAATTGTTTGCCTGCAGGTTTTGTATCTAGTTTTCTTTCCTTTCCTTTTCTGTTCTTTTCTTTTTTCCTTAATGGCTTTTAGTCAGTATGTGGGAAAAAAGAGAACATTTCTCGAGAAAAATATGGTATATAAAAGAAACTTTCTTTCCATTTTCTGTACTAGGACTATTTTTTTAATATCATCTTCTTTGTATGGAGTGATGGCAAATTGGCAAAACTTCTTGGTGTTTTCATTGTGATTTTGTTTCATAAATGAAGTGTCCTTAGTATTTTAATGGGCTCAAGTTGAGTTTTTATCCTTTCTGTCCGTTTGGATTTTTTTATTTTGATTTTTCATGGCCAATGCCAGAAACTTGAAAGCAGCATTTTTGAACTATTATTTATGAAATTTGATGAGTTGATATACTCAAGTCTTCCATGTCTTTTCAGTTAGATGGAGTATCTGTTTCTGTTGGCCTGGTGTGGACTTTTTGGGTGGTTAATGAAGTTCCTACTCTTCAATGAGGTTCATCTAGTACAATGTTTAGAAATGTGGAGGTGCGAAGGTGCCAGCCCTTCAGCCGTGCTTAATCCTTGTGGTGGTTTTTTTTTTCAAACAATAAAACCAAAATGAGGGAAAACATATAAATATGCACAAGAATGATTAGGTCAGAAAGAAATGAAACAGCTGTAACACCAGCTATGTTGTGGAGTAGAATGCCTGGCAGTAATGAAATAATGTGTCCAAAAATGTGGCAGAAATGCATATGCTAAGATGGATGAGTGGAAAAACTAGAAAGGGTAGGGTCAGAAATGAAGCCATTCAAAAGAACCTTTGAGTAGCTCCAATAGGTGATAAAATGAGAGAAAATAGACTAAGATGTTTTGGTTATGAGCATAGAAGACCACCAACAGCACTTGTAAGAAGTGATATGTTGCAAGTTGAAGGGGCTAGAAGGGCTTGGGGTAGACCAAAAAGGACATGGGTGGAAGTAATTAGAAACGATTTTAAGTTCATGATTGATATGACTCTAAACGGCATGGAATGGCGAAATAGGATTCATGTTGCCGACCTCATATAGTTGGGAATTGGGAGAAGGCTTGGATGATGATGTTGAGGAGGAGGTTACATTTATGAGTAAGTGATCACGGAAACAAGGTCTATAATAATAATTGGAGTTTAAAGAAACTCGTTGCTTTGTTACAGTCCTTTGATAACTATTAAAAGGCCTTGAATCTAATATAGTACTTTCAGAACAGTTTCGAATATGTTATGCTAAAGATACACAAAATACATACACGCCAATAAGTTTCTCTTGTAATGGGAATCCTACTTTGGATGATGTCTGAAATACATATTCTTGACATAAGGCAATCACAAGGAGCCAAGAATGTTGTTCTTTCAGGTCTGAGCCTCAAGGTTGAGCTTCAAGCCATTTTCCTTGAGCCTCTTACCTTGAGGCCAGCCTCATGGAATAAGCCTTCTAAAAAGCTGATAAATATGTTCATTCACAGAGACATGCTATTGTATACTATGATACCCAGAAATGGATGTGGACATGGACATGGATACAGGAAACAGGGATACAACTCTCCATTTCCTAAAATCCTAGGCATAGATATGGATGGAGTATGGGTATCCGATGTAATATGATGATAACATGCATTTATGTCTAGCTTTAGCTTAATATCATTTCTCAAAACTTATTTCTTGCCAAATTCTAAAAGTGTTAATGCTATAGTTTGTTAAAACACAACTCTTTACACATTCTAGAAGTTTCGATGCTATACTAGAGTGCATCCAGAAGTATCCATGCCATCGTATCATATCCAATAGATACTGGTAAACTAGACATGTACAGGTATCCAGGTATCATAGAAGTTATTTCATAATCATCAAAAACTCCCTCGTGCTTGAACCAGAAATGATGGCAGGCTAGCAATCTGATTGAACCAGATGTTCAAATTGGTTGATCCGGTGAGACCAAAGGGTTTAATTATTAGAATACATGAAAATAATATGGTGTATATATCTTCTAGACTTTTTAGTTCTTATTCCTAGTTTCTTTTCGATTGTGCAAATCAAAAAGAGATTGTGGCTTTGGTTCCACACCATCGCATCCTTAGCAATGGTAATGCTGACTGTGCAATGTGCATCCACTGCATGAGATCATGATAATGATGTAACACATGAATGTACAAGAGATTTTGACTTTGGTCCCACACCATCTCAACTTTTCCAATGTTAATGCTGATTGTGCAATATGCATCCACTGCATGATATCATGATGATGATGGTGTTACATCCCTTCTCTCTATTACACATAACACATGAATGTACAAGACTGTAAAATCCAATTCTTATCACACTTTCTCTTTTTCCACCTTACAAGTAATAGCTTTCTCTGATTCTTCCTCTGTAGTCACTTTAGTGATTGTACTTTGGATTTCTATTGAATTATTGTAACTCCATTACACATAATGCATGAATGTAAACCCTCTTCTAATCAGATTGCCTTTTTTTTTTTAATTTCCTTTTTTGGTGTTACAAATAACAACTTTATCAGACAATCTTTCCTATGTGCTCTGTAGTCATTTCAACGGATGCAATTCAGAATTTCAGATCAGAACTTCTATTGGATTATTCTGACTCGCCAAATTTTCATATATAGCCTTTTTCAATTCCAAAGAAATATGGATCTGTACATGATTGAGAGCTGAAGTGAAGTGAATTAAGAAAAGGGAGAGATCAAAGTGGGATTGGCAGAAAAAAAAAGGAAAAAAGAAACTGTTGGATAAGAAACAAAAGAGGAGGGGGGGGGCATTGAAAAGTAACTGAAGAGAAGGGAAAAAATAGAAAGCAGAAATATGACAAAGCAAGAGGGACCTCCAAAACGCCCAACTATATGGGGTCGGCAACATGCTTCTAGGTGAAGCACCCCCAAAACGCCTTGAGGCGTATGCCAGAGGCGTTGATGCCCCTGAGGTGTACAGTGTACACCTATGCCTTTTACACGGGGCGTACTCATGCATGCTTCATAGAAAAAGATAAGAAAGAAAAAAAAGAAAGGAAACGAAAGGGAAGGGAAAGAATAAAAAAAAGAAAGAAGAAAGACCCCTTCCAGCTAGTGTTGTGCATCGTCGTTCTTCTTACGTTCATATTAAAAAAAAGGAAATAAAGATGAGATCCTCCTTCCTTTCAAGGTCTGTTCAGGAGGCTTATGCCTCTTAGGTTCTGAACCTCACCCCTCGTAGTGGAATGCCTCCATATTTTAAAATATTGGTTGCTAATTGATCCCGTTAGTGTGATCTTCTGGTTATTGCTTCCATCTTGTGTTTGTTCCCAATGGGGTGTTTGCAAAGATGTTGATTCTTAGATGCTTGAGCTACTATATCAGTACATTTCATAATAATTTAATCGTTTCTCTAAAATTATCCTCATTACCTTTTTAGAGGTGACAAGGGTATCCTTGTTCTCTCTCTCTCTCTTTGATCAATCTGCTTTTAATTTTTAGATCGTAACTTCGCAAAAAAACCTCCTTTGGCCAGCTGAGCAACTTTTTTTGGTGGGTGTTTGGGGGGTTGATGTTGTTACTGTTGCTGCTGCAGCCTCGTAATCTTAGTTATGCTTTTAAGTTTTATGGAAGCTCTGTGGCTGTTGTCATACTTTACTATTTCAGATGGGAAAGAAAAAGAAGCTATACTGTTGACTGTTGAGTACATACACTGATACACTAAACCCAATTACCCTAGGATGGCAGGCATTGTTGCTGGACTTAATGACTAAGAAAAAAGTGGCACTTGATTTAATGGAGATCCAGGAAGTTCCAACCCGCCAAAATTGATATTCTTGCTCAGTTTGAAAGAAGTACAAATATAAATATGTACGGTGCAAATACACATATATATATATATATATATATATACAAAAGTTTTTTAAAACATTATGTTTTAAACCTGATTTGCTAACACCCCCAGTCGGACCTCGGGGTGGGGATTTCATTCCCATCCTCAACCAAACTGCTATCCCTAAACCTGATTTGTTCAGTGACTCATTTTTCGCCGTTTTTCTTTAATCCATTGAGGCATTACGTGATGAGCGTCGACTGGGGGTGTTAGCAAATAGTTTTGTGTGGTGGATCTTAATGTATACCACCTCTACACTCTGACAATATGGCATTATGGCCTAAATTCTGAAACGCATCGAAAGGTCGGCTGATACATATCAATAAGGTTTTTAAAGCTGGACAGGACAGGGAACCGTTCTGGGTCCGGTTCCTGGGTCGAAAAACCGGATCGAAAGGTCCGATTGTCCAGTCTGAAGGGACAGTTCTGACAAAAATTAAAAAAATATTAAAAAAGCAAAAAAGGCTAAAAACCTTGTCTGGATGGATGGTTTTGGCTGCCTAGGTCAACGATTTACTGATTAAATCAACCGTTTTTTTTTTCTTCAAAAGGCAGTTTTGGGGTGAATTCTTAATTTTTCCAGTTTGACCGTTCAGTCTGGTCCTGTTTTAAAAACACTGATATCAATCGCCTAAACCATCTCGTACACTTTCTTACAAGTGCTGACCTGCTGTCTGGTGTGTGGTACAGACATTAAAATATATGTACGTTTAAGTCTGATATAGGCGCTGATGAAAGTATCAAGGAATCAAGCAGAGAACTTAATGGATCTCAGAGAGTAATGGTGAGAACCGAACTTTTCTTATTTAACTATGAAAAGCAGCCAGTTCAAGAGTCGAATAAAACAACTTATAACAATTGGAAATATTCAGAAAAAACTCCCACACTCCCAATGATGTTTCTCGTTGAATCAACGAGGAAATTGTTCTAGCCTTCTAGGTGTTTATCAACTTATTACCAAAATCTTACTACGTTGAACCAGTCCAGATCTTGTTTTTGGCCTTCGAAAACAATCGAACAGATTTTTGAGTCTTTTTTGCAGCATCTAAATATTCCCTACACTAAGGACAAGCTTGAAGGTAATGCCATATGGATGCCAAGCAATCGGTTTTTATCTTAATGGCTTTATCTGGAAACCTAAAATTATGAAATGTCAATGTGTAGTGATACTCAACCCTTCTCTACCTTTATCACCTTCAGAGTCAAACAATTGGGACATTGTACGTGGTTGTATCATCAACTGTGATAAAATGGAGCTACATGCTTCCAAGATGGAGCAAAAATTTTCTCTCTGCCTTTTTATTTTGACGCCTTTCCAATAAGGAAATCAATACCAACCACAATGACATTTACTTTTAGAAAGAAACGGGAAGAAAGTTGAATCATAATACAAGTTTAACCATGTCTTACTTATTAGGAGAACCAAAAGGCAGCTAAGTAGTAAATCTAGTAACCAACGCGAATCTAATTGTTGGGTTTGTGGAAAGTTGGTGGGTCGTGGGAAAACTGGGAATGAATGGTTATTTAAATCTTTTCTTGGTGCGCTTGATTAGTGGGCCTACTTTTATTGAAAGATATCCGATATCGATTCCGGTTTTGAAACTTGCTTACTGAGTTACTGGTCTATTATTTCAATCTGGAAAATAACCATTCATATTCTCTGGCCCATCCCGTTAACTCTGTAATTTCACAATCAGAAGAAGTATCCATCTGTCAAAGGAGGGTTTGGAAACCACATTAAATGACTTTGTTCATCATCATTTGTAATATGTTCATGATGCGCATCGCAATAAATATAATCATAATCAGAAACAAATGATTTTCTATTCAGAGCCTGCCACGTCCCTAAATGATTAGTATCATCGCATCAAGCTCAACTATTTGGCTAGCTTTTATCTATACTGACTTGAATGATTAATAGATTTCGTATTAACAGGCTTCCATGTGCGCCGCATCGATGCTTCCAATCTAATTATTTCATCAAAATAAACTAATTGCATTTGGCCATCTTTGAATTTCCTAGATGTGAATACAATATATGCTTTTATGCTTTCGGCGATAATTTGATCAAAAGTCATTGCCCACCAACTGTTTGAAGTCCAGCCCGAAAGAGAAAAATCAATAGATATTGCGCACTAACTATTTGTTCCAACTTTCAAATACACGTTAGGTTAAGAGCAGATGCTATTAAAACAAGCTGCCAACCCAAGAACAAGACCGTAAAGCACAGAAGGAGAAGACAGTATCTTCGTACAATCGTACTAATTACATAGGAGGTGGGTTTGCTTAGAGTATATGTATGGTTCGGTCCTCTAGTTCTGTTTCCACTTTCCATTGCCGACTTCTATATACTTCACGCCCCGTTCTCCCGTCCCTTGGATGACATATTGGATAATCTCTGTAAGAGAAGGTCGAAAGTCTCTTCTCGATCCAGCATGCTAATCCTGAGATATGTTGTATCCACTCCAAAGTGCTTCCCGCTTCTAGTCAGGATCTTGTGTGCCCTTAGAAAGCTCTCAGTGTCCTTAGACTCCTCCTCTTCAGACTTCAACCAAGCAAAAGCTGTAAAGCATAATTCAACATACATACATCATTAGCTAAATTTTTCCTTTTGGGTATATATTCTGGCAGACTGAGAAGCATAAAACGATTACATAGATCATCTCATTACCAGGATGTGCTTCAGTCAACTCTCCAAAGAAGTTGCAGAACTCCATTGGGTATTCCGGCAGACTGAAAAGGCCATTACGTCCAATAACACTTCTCAAACGCTCCCATCTCTTGGCCATGAGGCCTCTTCCATAGTCAAAGAAGTTGTCGTAGTCTTGTCTGCAACTATCAGACACGGCCTTGAGAATCTTTGCCGCCCGCAACTGCGAGTCCTTCGACACACCTATTGTGTTGAGTTCGATGAACTTGGTCATCTTCTTAGCAACCTCTTTGTCCTTGACAAGTGCCCATCTGCAATATTTTTAAAAAGATTGAAGATAAACTCAGTATGAGTTGGCCATATATATATAATTCATCTAACGAAAACCCATGAGTAACTATATGAGTTTCCTCTCTACAAGTACCAAAGACAAAAGCAGTAAGTGCTCACCCAATGCGTGACCCAGCATGGCCAGTGCATTTCGAGACGGTGAATAGCATGAGATCATGATCTGCCGGAGTTGTAATCGGTGTATAATGAGGCCAATAGTAAGCCAGGTCATGAATGAGCTTCCCTCCACTCCCGTTAATCACTGCTTCCCGAATAAACCCATCTGGATTATTTGGGGAGGTTACGAGCTCTATGTAAGGTTGATCGCCTTTGTACTTGTATGCATCGCCGGCCCATCTGTAGAGCCCGGACCTTAAGAAATCGGTGACCGCCTGATAAGACTGCAAAGAAGAAGCAATTCAACGCAAATTAATTAGCAACTTGATTAATCAATGAGCATAAGTACCGTAAACTAAGGCCACAACTTTTTTCCTTTTTTATTTAATTTCTTTGGCCATAGAAACTTTATAAGCACTTGATAACATGATGGTCTGCAGGTGTAACCACTAATTATAAATTTGATACCACTAATTTTATTCCCTTAAGGTACTCATCCACCATTAATTAACCTGAACGAGAGAGAGAGAGAGAGAGATTCTGTATGGAAACAGAGAGGGAGCATGAGACATGGTCATTAACGTCTAATGAGGTCCCAAGATAAACAATGCTGAAGAAGAAGAATTGTAAGTAAGTATTGAACAATTCTGATTGTGAGAAAATTCACCGAATAGTATGGAACGGCTGAAACGACGTTGATCGGCTCTGCTGAATCGGGAGATGATAAAGCATAGAGCGCTGCCTGAAAGAGTTGTGTTGAACCGGTACCAACCACGATGTAATGACCTTCTATTTCAGCATTGGCCACCAAATGATGCAAGCGTCTGATCTCTTCCACTAATTCTGGCTCCAGAAACCAGCACAAGTTTGTAATGTCGGAGAAGTAGCTTAGCGATTGCCAGCCGGAGATCACCACTGTGCACTTGTCCCCCATCTTCTGCCAATATGGCTCGAACATTTTTGGATCACCACTGTTAACGAAAGTCAAATGAAAAATACTGTCAGGCGTCAGTCTGAGAATATGAAATAACCGTAGCCTGAGACAATCTGTATATCAAAAGCTCAACTTCAACTGTAATCGAAAATGATGGTGAAGCAAATAAGACACAGGCTTGGAATTGGAAACTTACTGGTCAAGGTTAATAACAGAGTCGGAGGGGAGCTTTTTGGTCATGCTGTTTTGTTTTTCTTGCAAAGCAACAGAAAAAAGGGAAGAGTGTCCATTAATATGCACCACCTGCTCGCTATCAGGCATCTTTTTCCCCTATTCTCTGTTTAGTTACCGTTAGACTCGAAAACAAAATACTCCTGAAAACTCCAACCTTCCTCTCCTCTCAAAACCACAATTGTGTCTCTCTGCTCCGCTGTCCATTATGTATACATGCAGCATATGTGAGCCATTTAAAGGGTCAGTTTAAATCTCTTAGTTTTGCTTTTTAATACTTAAAAAATAACCGCAAGACTATATTCCACCGCAAATCAAGTTGAGTAGTGGTTTGCCATCAAAGGATTAAAACCGACCGCGGGAAACGGCTGCACGAGCTAAATGGTGAACTATCCTATTTGTCTTACCACCATAGTGGATAGTGGAGGACTTTAAATTGGGTAAAACACCTTGAGAGGCTATAAATATTTGACCATACATTTTTTAGGGGGTTAAAGTCAGATAGTTTATTGGAGTTCACAGCTAAAATAGCTTCCAGATAATCAAATTTCACCAGAATTCTATTTAGCCCCAGCAGTCCTACCAAATGGTTCTTCTTTTAGCATCAACAATTGATTGGCAACGAACTCAATCTCCTCGAGCACCAACGACTTTCCCTTCTTGATTTCTTATGACATAGGCGATTCCCGCCCACCTAGAAGATGCGTCAAAGCTAGCATCGCAATTCACCTTCACCCATTGGTTTGGAGGAGGGTGCCATCTATTGTTTGCTCTGTTCAAAACCGACCCGGAAGGAACCGCTGTGGCTATCGATTCCTGGGTCAGTGATTCGACTGTTTAGGTCAAACAGTTCAGGTGGTTTCATTGGATTAGGGCAAACATTTATGTGATTGTCTTTTAGTCTTTTATGTGAAAAGAGAGACTTATGTGTGGTTCTTAGCTGAGAAAGAAAAGAATGAAAGAAATAAATAAAAAAGGAGAAGAAGGAAAAAAAGAAAAAGAAAGAGAGAAAGGAAAGAAAAGAAAAGGAGGAAAAGAGGGAAGAATCAAAGGAGGAGGAGAAAGACTCAGCATTTACCGGTGATGACGATGGCAGCAGCAACAAAAATGTAGCGGCAAGTCGGCAGCCATTTCGCATCTAAGATCATTCTTGTCTTAGTCCTTCCCCATCTTTGCTTCCTTGTTAAACAGTTTACTGCTATCCGGGTCGAATGGGTCAACGATTCAACTGTTTGGATCAGAGATTTTCTGACCAAATCAACGATTTTTTGCCCATGAATAGGTTAAGGGAAAAACCACAGTTTTCAAAACCAGACCGGACTGGAAAAACCGGGAACCAGTTCTATTTTTCCCCAAAAACCGTTGATTTTGGTCAGCGAACCGCTGAACTAGGCGGTTAACTATTGAACTGTTTGCACAGTTTTGATAATTTTTTATTTTTCTGTTAGAACGGGTTGAGCGTTCAGTTCGAATGGTCGGACCGTTCGACCTGGTAATCGGACCCCTGACCACTTCGATTTTAAAAACCATGAATAAAACGGAACCAATTGCCTAAATGGTTCCTGAGTTGAATGGTCTGACCATCCAGGTCAATGACAGTTCGAAAACACTGGTTGTAATAACCCACATCTTAAAACCAAACACGGATACTTGGTAGAAGTGGAACTAGTATCACTAGCTGGTTAAATTTTGGTTAGATACTGAGACTAACGATATTGAGCAAATTGGTGGATTCAACCGTCCCGTTCAACTCCTTTGAACCACACAACCAATTAATGTCCAAACCAATTTAACTTTAATTAAATAGTTTTGGCTCGAGCTTTAATTTCAGGGTAAATTTGATTGATTATTTAAATTTGAGTGCTACCAATGAAAAGCTTGACTCGAAAGTTCACGAATTTGACTTGATTTATGTATAAAATGTAAAAGAATATATTAGTTTTCAAGCTTTTGAGCCAAGTTCAATCATTGAATATTTAGACTAAGTTTGAGAGTGCTTATTCTATAAGCATCCATGAGCGTTTGGTGAAAAATTATTTATTTCAAATAGGATGGTATAAATATTTTCAAAAATGGTGTAATGGGCAAAATAAGTCAGAAAGAAAATAAGCACTTGCTTAGATTTATTTCTCAAACGCAAACAAATACTTATTAGTATGGTCCCAATACAAAATAAATATTTATTTGATAATCACTTGTTTTTAAGTGCTCCCAAACTTCACCTTAATCGAATTAAGCTCAAATGAAAATAATCAAATCAAATCGACAAGCCAAAATTTGACCCGACTCGATTTAATCATACCTCTACCACCAGTTTCCTTGACTCCATGGGATGGGATGGGGTAATGATGTGGTGAAGTCATGGCAGTATGACATGTGTCATGCATAAATGATCATCAGAGATCATATAATAACTGGGACAAAACCTGCAGCTACAGACAATTTAATTACATGTTGGGATCGACCCACACCAAACTAATAATGCATTTAATGTGTGTCCAAAAAGGTTATAATCTTAAACCAAAGGAATTCCTTGATTGAATTTGGTTGTTCCCTCCCAAGCAATCTCTATTCTTCCGACCCATGTTGGATGTTGCCAAACACATGTATGTATGGGGCGATGCACATGCTTGGAATGATTGCACATGCAACGCGATACATGCACATGCACATACTATCAGACTTGGTGGGATTTTAATATTGTGTTTGTTAGCCGGGAATCAGACATGTTTATTATCTTGAGGAGTTTTGTGTGTTGATTGAAGGTTTGGGGAATTGGGAATTGGGAATTGGGGAGGGAGCAAATGCAAAAACCAATTAACCCGCATACCAAGCATGTGGATGTGGTCAGTGGTTGAGATAATAACTCAGCGCCTGGTCCCGACCTTAGCCATCCAACCCTGTCCTGATTCAGCGATTTCTTCTGAGTTTAGTTCAGTTCCCCCGTCATGAACACAGTCTGCATCCCTCACGACTCCATCCATATGAAAAACTACTTAATTAGAGTACTGTTTGATAAACAAACGGAAACAGGGAAATTGGAAACAACCCCCCATTTGAAAACATTAAATAATAAATTAATCTACAAGCTAAGATACAATGAACCTCGTCATCCTCATCCATGAATCAAATTTTCTGTCGAAATCTGGGATCTGGATTAATCCATGGTGGTTGGAGCAAATGTATAGAAAGAAACCATTTCATAGTTTGTGCATGACTCTACCTATGGTGCAAATTTTAAGTGTTTGATGGCCAGGCTCCGGCTTCAAGAAGAAGAATAGTGAAGCCCAGTCAAACAGGATAAAGAGGCATAAACCATAGCCCATAGGGTGATGAAGATTGATGATCAGTAGTTTATCTAATCTAATCATAGATAAAAAACCATTTTAATTTTTATCAGTGGAAGGATTTAAATGGATATATGGACGGATTCAATATTATTCTCAAGTCTCAACTCACATTAATTTTATGATGCATTTCTTAAACGTTGCCATGCGCAAGTAAATTTCAAAATTACTATTTTAATCATTAATAAAATGAAATTTATATTTTTTCTAAGGTATATCGATCGAATATGAGATTTTTTACTTTTTTGGGGGGGGTAAATTCATGCGTATTTTAATCACTACCGTGTTCAAAACATATGGTATCTTAAAATTGCCCTCCAAATCATAGGCGGATCGGCATAAGATGGTAATTGCAATAATTCAGTAAAACATGGGTAAATAGGGATGACAATTTTTCTCATTCGCGACGAGGATCTGACTTTCCCGACTTTATTGGGTCGGGGATGGAGATTATTTTGGTGAGGCGGGGACGGAGATGGGAATTGAGGTCCTCGCCCCCCGATCCTAATTTTATATATATTATTATATTATTTCTATATTTAAAACATTATTTATAATTTAAGTTTTTTTATTTATTTTTAAAAAACTACTGTTATCTAAAAATATTTCGGAGATTTGGGTCCCTACAGAGAACCCATCCTGTTGGGGACGGAAGATTCATAGATAGAGGTTAATTTCAGAATCGGGATCAATAATAAAGAATATAATCCCCACCCCGAACCTACCCCATTGCCATTCCTATGGATAAATTTCTCGTGCAAATTTTACGAATGACCGTCATCAGTGAACAAGATGGGTGGTCGTTTAGCATCTACTCCCTCTTCCATGCAATGCAGGTCATTAATGAATTCCCCCAAATATTTGAACCAAGATATGGTGTCTCCCCAGGTCTCAAGTATCCATAAATATTTGAACCATTACCATAGGATATGTATCAATTTTCAGGATCACTAAAATGAGAATTATTAACATATAACCATGTTTAAACAATAGTTATACAGTCTTTGTTAAGCAAAATTGAAGTGAAAGAAACTCATAAAATTAAAATAGAAGTACAGATGAACGTGAATCAAGTTGATCCCAATCCACCTAACTAATGGGTGGTTCAATTGGTACACTAGTCCAAAAAGTATGCAAACCATGAAAACGGTATCAGGTATCATTTTTTCCTATGAAAAAAGATTGATGCTGCCCAGGATCGAACTGGGGACCTTTAGTGTGTAAGACTAACGTGATAACCACTACACCACAGCATCAGACGCAAATAACGCTTGGAGTTTAGTTTCTTGTAATGTTAGTTCCCAATTAATTTTACTTCAAATCATCAAAACGCTACATAAAATTAACATATATTCATCTACCACGTGTGCATTAAGGGTTGTATGATGGGCTTTGATTGAAACCAGAAAACATAATCAGTGCACTCAATACTAGACTTTGCAATATCAAGCGTACGTATCAATAGTTTGAACCTGGGTCCCAACTCCCAACCTGATCTCAACATAGGGTCCCAATAACACACGGTTCCAAACAGCTATTTCAGCCGTTCATCAGGAACATTTCCCCTACTTTTTATGGTGAGATGTTTCCGATGTGCAGCTGCAATGGCTATTGGGACCGAATGTTGGGACTGATCTAGACTCAGTTTCAGCACTTCAAGCAAACCTGTTTCAATGGGAATGATTAGAGTAATGTTTGGTACTGTTTACGTTTATTGATGGTGCCACATAGGCGTCATCTCAGCATTTTCTCTCTCTTGTTCTTCTGCATACATCGAAAATGTAAAAAGTGAACTTTGGTTTATGTACATGCCAGCCATTTGTAGAATTTATTTTTTGAACCTTCCACAAGCGGCCAAGCATTTATTCACTATTATGCTGAAGTGGCATCTAATGGTGCCTAGTGGCACCCAATTGTCATAAACGGTTGTAATTATTGCATTTCTCAGTTTTACTAGCAAATAAAGTACAAACAGTTATTCAATAAACATAAATGGAACCAAACACATACTAGGTTTGATTTGTATCATAACCTTCATAAGCGTTTCTTTTCACAAGTGAGTCCTCATTCACGAGCACTTCGTTTTGCATGTTCTTTTAAGTAATTTGACTTATATTATAATATATTTATAATGATAACTGTGTGACATCTCAGAAAAATAGTAGTTCTTTCAAATTTTAATGTAGCATGTCACCAAGGCAATTCAAGAAACCATTCTTTCCCGAATCTCAAAGCTAATCATTACAAAAAACGCTTTTTGTGAAAAACAAGATTGTCATGCATTTTTTTTGTAGATTCCATTTAATTGCTGATGGTACATGCATGATACACCAATAGAAATGGAACACTTATGAAATGCTTCGGTGCCAAACACCAACCCAGGTGTCCGCTTGTGTTAAAAATAGAATTGGGATCTACTCCTCATAGAGTGTGCCTCACACCAACCTCACAACCACATCCCACCCTGTACTAAGAACATCTCCCCATAAATATAAATAATAAATACAAATGCGGGAGATGTTCCCAATGTATGGCCAATAAATCTTGTTAGATTGGTGTGAGGCGTGCTCTGTGAGGTGCAGATCCAAAATTTTAAAAGTAAAGCAAAGAAAATCTTAATCTACAAAACTACAACTTACAAGCCAACAACACAGGATGCCCTCTTGGACGGGAATTGTGTTCCCAAGTCCTAATCACAATGGTCCCAATATCCATGCACCCAAAGGAGGAAAATCAATATGCCCCTTTTCTTTTTTTTTTCTTTTTTTGGAAATTAAAGTAGGACCTTTTTCCCTGTTTTAGCTGAACTGTAAACCAGGAGAATAGAATTTAGACCTGATAATAAAATTGAAATTCTGAAGAACAAGGTAAGAAAACAAAGGAAAGATCTCTAGCCGAGACCATAAAAGATAAAACACACCAATGAATTGGCTTTCCTTCTACCTGAACATAGACATAATGCCTTGCACAAAGGAAAGTTCTCTAGCCGAGACCATAAAAGATAAAACACACCAATGAATTGACTTTCCTTTTACCTGAACATAGACATAATGCCTTACATAAGTGTTTGGCATAGGTGCTGGGAACATCACATTGTTTTTTCATAAAAACGGTGCTAGACATGTGTAATTATAAGATTTTGTTTGGAAGGAGTGCTGCCATATAGGCGTTTTCTGAGAAAACAACACTTGTTTTGTTTGGTACTAGTGCTGATAGTAATGTTTTCAACATTGATCTACATTATTCAATGTCCAAGATGATGTCACATACTCACATTGATGCCACATCATTGCACCATTGGAAGCAATGCACCATTTTCTCAGAAAACATTGAATTTGGCGTTGCTCTATACCACACTTTCCTGATTTCCAAGGCATGGTCTGAAAAAACGGTACCAAACAAGAGGGTGTTGTTTAAAGCACCGCTTTCTCCGATGTGGCACCTACGTGACATCATTTTCTCAGATAACGACATTGATGCCAAACACACACACTGTGAGCAAGAGCTGTTATAGTCAGATATTTGATAGCCTCTCTATAAAGATGTTAAATGTCTCCTCTTGATCCAACATGCTAACTCTAACATAAAAGAATACATAAAATTTTGGTATCTATATATTGAGTTATTATAGCATATATCTATATAAAATTTGTTATCTAAATATTATATATAATATTTACCATATATGTATATAACTTCAAAGTCAAACTTAAGGTTTCTTATCAGCCCACATTATGTGTGTGGGATTGGCGCGAATCTGAATTGGGCCTAATCTAGAAGAAAATGGTTGATTGATCTAAGGAGAAGGAGCCTTATAACATTTCCAATTGAACTATTATGATTTTTATTATTTTATATGGAATGTTAATGATTTTTATTACTTTTAATAATTTTTTACTTTTTATTATCAATTTTAAATTTTCTATTAATACTAGCTATTTCTAAATATAATTTAAATTAAAGGCAAAAAATGCTATATAATAGGAATTAACGAATATCTCATTATTAAATAATAATACATGTGCAAATATTTACGTTATGACAATTAACCAATTAAGTGCATATTGTCATAATGGGAAGGGAGGAGCAGGGGGCACCGGCCTTAATCCAAAATAAAAAAATATAAAATAAAAGGAGCCGATTGATACTGCCCAGGATTGAACTGGGGACCTTTAGTGTGTAAGACTAACGTGATAACCACTACACCACAGTATCAGACAATATCACCCTTTGGAGTGTAATACCTTGTGACGTTAGTTTTATGACGATCACCTAATTAATTTTAGTTCAAGATCATAAGGAGAATTAACAGATATCTCATGTTTGAATAATCTACCAAATGTGCATTAAGGGTTGTATGATGTGCTTTAGTTGAAACTAAAAACATTAGAGTATCAGTGCACTCAATACTAAACTTGGCAGTATCAGTGAGACGATCCCAATGTGCAGCTGAAATGGCTATTGGGACCGTATGTTGGACCAGATCTGGACTCAGTCTCAGCACCTCAAGCAGAACGATTAGGTTCGCTTTCTACATCATAACCTTGGCTCATCCGGCTGACTCAGGTGTCCGCCTGTCTTAAAAACTTAAAAGTAAAGCAAAGAAAATCTTAATCTACAAGGCTACAAACGTAGGGGTGTCAATGGACTAGTTTTGGGTTGGACTTCATCCAAATCAAAATCTATTTGGATGGATTGGACAGACCAATAAGACATTGAATTTGGATGGATTGAACGGACCAATATGACATATTGGATTGGACCTGGTCCGTCCATAATGAATTTATATTGGGTTGAACCAATATCTGGTCCATTGATAGAAAATAAAAACATAGGTATCAATGGACCAGGTTTGAATTGAAACCAGTCTAAATTAACAGGAATTTGAACAGATTGGACAGTCTCTGGACAAGTCCAAAATATTCATTGGACTGGATTGGACTAGGTCCATTTGTAATGGACTCACATTGGACTGGACTGGACTGGATTGAACCAAATCCAGTCCAATTGACACCCCTATTGGACGGGAGCTCTGTGCCTAAGTCCTAATAACAATTGTCCAAATATCCACATGCACCACCCAAAGAAGGAAAATTAACCAGGAGGATAGAATTTAGACCTGATAATAAAATTGAAATGCTGAAGAACAAAGTAACTAAGAAAAACAAAGGAAGTTCTCTAGCCGAGACCACAAAACAAACCACCATCACACAGACACATGTATGAATTGATTTTCCTTCTCCATGAACATAGATAGAACGCCTCACCATTTGAACAAGGGCTGCTGTTATAACCGGATATTTGATAGCCTCTCTATAAACATGTCAAACGTCTCCTCTCGATCCAACATGCTAACTCTAACATAATTTCCTTGAGCACCAAAATGCTTCCCAGTTCTTGTTAAGATATTATAGCCCCTTAGAAAGTTCTCACAATCTTCTATGCCCCCCTCGCATTTCAGCCAAGCAAAAGCTGCATTGAAATAGTAAATGCCATTATTAACATATATTGATCTTTAATTAAATTTATTGATAATCCAATCCTGTCAGTAGTTTTAAGTGTTGCTACCACTTACCAGGATGCGGTGTAGTCATCTCGCCAGCGTAATTGCAAGACTCTGGCATGAACTCAGGCAGACTGAAGAGCCCACTTTGGCTGACTGCATCTCTCAACCGGTCCCATCTATCAGCCATGAGACGGCTAGCATACTTGAAAAAGCTCTCTGAGTCTTCAGGGTAGCCCAACTGCTCACAACTATGCGATACCACTTGCAGGATTTTTGCTGCTCGGAGCTGCGAATCCTTTGATACACCTATGGTATTCAGCTCTATGAATTTAGTCATCTTTCTTGCCACCTCCTTATCCTTAACAAGAGCCCATCTGCAACATTAATATGTGATCAGTCTTTCCCTTGAACAAAGTTGGGATCATAATGGCAACTTCCAATTTCTAGTTATAGTCCAAGTGTTTCAATGACTAAGAACAAGAAGAGAATCAATGCTGAAGCCAAGTAAAATATCGAGACATGTAGGGATATAATTTTGAGAGGCTCAGAGGACAATGATATGAGTAGCTTACCCAATTCGTATCCCTGCATGGCCGGTGCATTTGGAGATGGTGAAAAGCATGAGATCATGATCTGCAAGACATGTAATTGGAGTATATTGTGGCCAATAGTAAGCAAGGTCATGAATCACTGTCCCTCCATCGCGATTAACCACAGCTTGCCTGATAGAACCATCAGGATTGTTTGGGGAAGTAACAAGCTCTATGTAAGGCTCATCTCCTTTCAAAGTATAAGCATCACCAGCCCATTTATAAAGCCCTGATTTCAAGTAGTCTGTAATTGAAGGGTACGACTGTAGGCATGACAAGTTGATGTAAATGATTTCTTATCAGTACTGAAGGAAAAAGGAATTTGTGGAGAAAGAGTAAAACCTCATTTCAAGCCTGTAACAAACACCGGTGAGCCTATAAACCAGGAAATAATGATATGTGTACTATCACATTCCAAGCAAGAATTTCAAGAGACTTGGTGCTTTGGAGATAAAATAGACCCAGTCTTGACCGTTTAACTAATTCTTACAAACCACCACCATTTTGCTTTCCATTCTATTGTATATATAAGACTTTCTGCTTAAAGGCAAACCACATCAGGTAAAACATGAAGGACGGGAGTTTGGATATCACAAACCTGTTGAGAAGTATCAAAAGAATGCATGCATAGACATCTGTGCACTGCCAAAGACTAGGGCATCCCCTGCCCTCAAGTCAAAGAAGGTCATTCTCAAGACGGATCCAATCCCAGGATGGACTGGGCTGGACAGATGGGTAAAGAAATATGTCATGATGGAAAATTTTTTGTGAGATATATATCTCTGTATAAACGTGAATTCTCTGTATAAGAATAATATGAAATATGGCACACAACACTCTGTAAATGAACATGCAAGTCCTCAATAGATTTTACAGAGTTGTTTTGCCTTGCACTTCTAAAACTTAAGTTAAAACGCAAGCTTCATTTCAGCAATCATCATGAAGAACAAATATTTTGATAAGATCTGTGATCAAACCCAGCCACCGCAGTGGCCTAGCCAGGAATTTTTTCTAGTGGGTCATACAATAACTTAGAAAATGACACTACTTGAAGAGGGTAAACACAATTTGAGGTTTTTTTCTTTTTCTTTGCCTTCTTTTATTTTCAACATGATGACCAAAATACCCTTTGCCCCTTTCATTTCTTTGGCATTTCAAAAGGTTGAAAAGATTTATTTATTTATTTTATATATATATTTTTTACATTTTCAACTGCCCAAATCATAACTCAATTAGCCTAAAAAGTCCAAATTGACTCCACTCTCTTGTATTTTCTTTTAACCTTAACAGGATGAGTATGGAAAATTGGCTGAAATAATACATATAGTTAAATGTAGCTCCACGTGCCCATGCATGCAACTAACAGTGTTATTTAAACAAGTTCTAACCATACTCCAAGGAGAGAAAAGAGGGGGGATCAGAAGCCATTTTTCTTTACCTGTGATAAGCAAATGAGTAGCACGTAAGAGGTTGCAAAAGCCCAAAGATGATTGGGCAAAATGTAATTACACACTATAGAGTTTTTTGATAACGCATAATTAAACGTCTGGATAAATGGTCGTGCTTTTTTTTTTTGTGGTAATAGATTGAGATCAATCAACAACTTAACAACATGGCTGAACATTTTTATGCCTTAAGAGGTATAGTAGAGTAGTTCACAAAAATTGAACTCACCGAGTAGTAAGGAATAGCGGACACAACGCTGATGGGTTCAAATGCATCTGGTGGAGAAAGAGCATAAAGTGCCGCCTGAAAGAGCTGTGTGGAACCTGTCCCCACCACAATATGACGATCTTCTGTTACAGCATTTCCCACTGACTGGTGTAATCGTCTAACCTGTTTGGTAAACTCAGGCTCTAGGAACCAACAAATATTTCCAACATCGGAAAGATAGCTCATTGATTGCCACCCAGAAATAACAATTGTACTTCTATCTCCCATCTTTTGCCAAAATTGTTCATAAACAGTTGGGTCGCCACTGTGTATAAAACTGTTTGTTAGAACAACGCTATTTATAGTATTAATTCGATTGGAATTAGCCCAATATTACAAAAATTTTGAACCATAATATAGATTTTTAAAAATCAAGTTAAACATTTTATCAATAATGCATAACAGTCAAACACTGATGTATCCAGTGGTCAAGGATATAGGTCTCCGGAACTGAGGTGGATCATCTAATCCATGCACTTTTGGCATAGGGGGAATGGCCCCATCTAAGGCGATGGACATGGCCCACTTATATATATATATATTAATTCCAGATTCCTGATTCAGACATCAGAAAGCCTATAAAACAAGATTCCAGATTTTCTGTCAACAATGCCGCATCACCAATTAGTGCATGACAATTGCCAAAACTAAAATATTTGTCACTAACCTCACAAGTGATATGAATCTGGAGAGCTGACACTTCTGATTGGAAACAAAAGCAACATTAGGAGGGAGTTGGTACAAATTTTGTAACCAAATGAAAATTTTTATCTGGTTCAGAGTTACACAGCAAACGAACACAATGTAAGTAAAATTTGATGGAAAAAATGTAAGGCCGTAAAGTGGGTTCCGCTCCTGACATGGCCCACATATATGTTTAATAATATTTATATATACATATACAATAATATATTAATATATGTGTATATAAATTTTATTTTTCAATTATATAATACTATTTTATTCTAATTTTATTATATATTTTTTTCAATTCCGTTTTATTATTTCATATATAAACAATTGTATACATCAAACTTCATATAGAATAAAATTTTAAGATTTTTTCAATTTTTTGTCTATCTTGTTAATTTATCTTAACCTTATTATTATTTTTTAATTATTCTAAAAAAAGGTACCCCCACGGCCTAAACAAATACCATTCATCGCATATGTATTAATCCATGCAACAAACACCTTAGGCGATTATACCAATTTGGGGCAGGGCACCCCCTCCCGGTCCCTGCCCCCCCTAGTCAAGATGTTCAGCCCCGTCTCCGGTGGTGGGGCATCCACTCCCCGTCAAGGATGGGGATCCCCAAATTTTCCCCATTTCAAGACAATCACCTAAATATTATCTATTTTGTGGATAATTTATAAATAGGATTATAGAAATTTGGTAGTATTTTAGGAATTGTATAATGATACTTTGAATTATGGGATTGTAGGATTTTAAGAATTTAGAAAAAATTTAGAGATATTTTAAAAATCAATGTTAAACCTAAGGATATTTTACTAATTTACCTTGGGGTTCGGGGAATTATATATAAAACCCGTCCCCGTCCCATCCCTAATTCAGAGAAAAAAAAAATATTTTCCCCGTCACCATTTACAGTCGGGGAAAACCCATCCCGTTAGGGGCAGAGCAATTTTATGGGGGAAATTACCATCCCTAAGCCTAAATAACATTTGTTGGGAAAAATGGCATTCATCGTATACGTACTAATTCATGCAACAAACACAGCCTATGTGCCTTCAAGAATCTGTAGTGTCGGACCATGCATGTCCATGTACAAATCCATGCAACATTGCAAATAAGATCCCTTGCTCTATGTTTTTCTTAGTTCTTTTCCCTCTTATCATTAAGTAGAAGAGAGCTTAAATCTTTTATCAGTAAAATCATAGTATTTTTTACTTGCTAATAGTTTTTCAACATGAAATTGCTGTATGTTACTTTTTATAATGTAATAGTGTCTAAAATATTGATAAAAATTGATATATTTAAAATATTATTAGCGAGTAACTCTGCTATTTGTCAATTTGTATATATATGCTAGCTAGTTGATATATGAATGAAACTAGAAAGTTCGCCTAAATTTAGTTTTCTTTATCAAAGACTATCATCAAGGCAGAGAATTTAGAAAAATAATTACATCTACCTGTGAACTGATCATAGCACTTGCAAGTAGAAAAATCCAATTGAGATGAGAGTATTGTACAGTAACTCGCCCCTAGGGCGGTGTCGTGCATGGGATAAGAAGGGAATAGGGCTAAGCTTTAAGCTGTATGGAAATTAAATCAAATAATGTGAACTTGATTCCTGACTCCCTACAAACACTGAAACAAGCATTAAAGACATACACCTTTGATGTAAGGGTGTTAATGGACTGATTTTGGATTGGACCCCATCCAATCCAAAATCAATTTGGACAGATTGAATGGACTAACAAGATATATTGGATTGGACCAATACAATCCAAAATATTTATTAGATTGGACAGACAAGAATATCAGGTTTGAGTTAAAACTAATCTAAATCAAAATAAATTTGAACAGATTGGACTGTCCATACATTGAATTGGACCGTTCCAAATTGGTCTAAAAACATTCATTCGATTGGATTGGACCTTATCAATTTAAAATGGACTAAATTGGACTGAATCGGATTGGACCAAATCCAGTCCAATTGACACCCCTACTACTTTTGATGTACAAAGGGAAAACGATTTTGATCATGATATTTATTGTCCATCGTTTCTAGCACCGGCCGGGAAAAAATGCAATCCCCCGTTTCAACTTTCAAGTACGAATCTATTGGTAGCTTGCAATAGAACCATATATAGAATCATCTGATCATCTCTAAGCCAAACTATCACCAACCATCATCCCTCATCTCTGCATTAATTCTATCTATTTTGGTTTTGAATCATCTCTGAGACCCGTTCTACTAAGGGGATGGGGGGATGGATGTCTTGAAGTGGATTCTAAAAGCTTGACTGATGCTTTTGCTTTTAGCTGCAGATTCTCAAAGAGTTAGCTTAGAGACATGCATAGTCTTCCAGACCAAATTAAACCCTTCACCACATGGATGATGGATCCAACTTCGTACAACATGATTTCGGAGCTTTAATCATGATTCCGTGCTGCACCCAGAGCAAAGATTCACATCTCTCTGTGTTCTATTATTGCTAAACCTAATTTGTTTCTGTTTTTTACCTTCTTTTCCTGGGGCTACGAGCCTACGAGACTCTTGCGATTATGTGGTTAAGGACCTTAAGGTAAGTCCATAACAGTCCACGAGACCACGACGATGGAACGATCAAACTATACGTACCCGCCAATTACCAATCTCCGGATCCCAAAATACCGGCACACGTTCGTTGGGCACAACAAAGCAGAAAGTAAAGAAAAAAAAAGGAAGAAAAAGACTTCACTTACTGATCGAGATCTACAACCTGCTCCTTGCCCTTTCCCTCTTCTATTTCTTCCTCCTGATCTGAAGCAGCAACAGACATCGTCCTCGTTCTTCTTCTGTTCGTCTTTTCTCCGAAACGGAACTCTTGAATTTGCTGTTTCTCTTCCATAGCAGCATGAAGTCTATTCTGTCTCATTGTCATACAGTAACCTAGTTAATAACCAGACCGACATTCAATGAAATCGCGCGATATATAAAAGAACAACAAGCGTGCAGAAGATCTGATTTTACACTGACCTCACCTAACACCTTAAAAAGCTGCTGGAATCACCTAGCCTGCTAGAATTGCAATCAGTTGTTGTTTTCTTCTTTTTCTTTGATCTTTATTGAACGTTTAGGATTTTTAGGCAAACACAGTTGTTGAGATTTTCTCGGACTTCCGAGTAGATTTTCAAGAGAAAAGACAAGTGAAGTGGATCAGGCTTCATAAATGGAGACACGAAACAAAAGAGAGATCAAAGTTGACGCAAACTCTAAATTGAAGTGTTATCGTATTATTTATCTGTTTTTTAATATGGAAAGGGAAATTATTTGTGATGTTATCTACTTGTCCGTCAAGTTTGAAGATAAGAATATTTGGAAATTTTTAATCGTTTACAACTGATCAACTGAACGAAATGGAACTAGTAATTCAACGATTTCTTCGTCCAAAGAATTCAGCTAAAGAAAGAAACAGAATTTGATGAAGAGATTCAAATAAGTTCTGCGACAGTGGAGTCAAGACTTACAAGCTCTCTCGAACCTAAGCTAGCTAATGTTTAGAAAAAAAATAAAAATAATAAGAAGCCAACCAAAAAAAAAATTTCAGTTCGAGGTTAGTTTAACAAAACGAAAACGATTAAACGAAGCGACACTGAATTCGATCTCTGCAGCAAAACTTCAGTTCGAAGCAGAAAATATGTTGGAAGCTTTCGCCTTTTCATGCAGAATTGCAGGTTTCCAATAATGAAAGACCTTAAAACGAGAACGCATCAAAGACAAAAAAAAAAAAAATGGAGAAAACGGAGACTTTAGCTTGACAGAACGATGAATGACTTTTGAGGACGAATAAAGTTGCTGCTGCAACAGTGATTTCTCGCACCGAAAGTACAAAAGCACCCCCCATTGTTTCATCTGTTTACCCCAAATGAAAAAGGAATAAATGGAAAACAAAAGGTCTAATGCGTATTTTCCGAAGGTCACGAGGGAGCACCGAGCACTACTAGGGATTTGGTAAGCCGTAAGCCTAGTAGGTTTGTCTCGTCGACTCTAGGGAGTTATTCGCGGGAAATAAAAGACGTGAAAATTGCATTAATTTTAGGGAAAATTTCCTGTAATTTGGGTCTATTGCCACTTTCGTCTCCCAACTTTAAAATGCAAAACATGTCCTATCCTGGTGACCTCAAAGAGGCAGGATTTAAAACTATTAATTTTTTATCAACATTTTGGATATATGATTGATAAAAAAAATTAGACGATACTTGAAGGATATTTTTGTCTTTTTCAAATGCCATTTAATAGCTAATTAACAATAGATAATTAATTGTCATATTTTAAAAGTTTGGGTACTGAAAAAGTATATGATACTAATCAGAAATTTTCCTTTACTTTTATTAATTTTTATTTTAATGCCATTTTCTTAGACAAACCTGTAATTTTTATACTTACTAATTAAAACGTACTCTCCGGTTAGTGTGTTACTAAAACACTCCTACAATTTGCGGCCACTTTAACTAATTGGCCTTCCGTAACAACGTTTGTATTGTATTTTCATCTATGATATTTTTGAAAATAAGAAAACCCTACATCTATGCCTGTTCACACATTTTCTCACCTGTTTGAAGAAATCATTTGACCATTCTCAAAAGGATATACAAATACCAATGTTGGTGGCTCAGTTGGTAGAGATGTAGGATCAAATCAATCTCGCTACCACTAGAGTTAAGGAGGGCGGATGGACTACCCTCCAATGGTTTCATATATATATATATACACGATCCTAATGAAATGTCTATTAAGTAAAGCTGTTATTAATTATATATCATTTAATGTGCAAATTGAAGTGGCCTTTTCGTTCTGCGGTCTGAACCGTATAATGAAGATACTTAATTCTTAACATGTGATTTTAGTATCTTGTAAGTAGGGTGTTGGAAGAAGATTTTAGGGTCCATTTGGCTTGCAGTTGGAATTGAAATGTTCTATTCCAACAGTCTGTTTGATTCAGATAAGAATGAGAACGGGAATTAAGAATAGGATTTCATTTTCAATAAAAAGACAGGAAACAACCATTTTTTAAATAGAGGAATGCCATTTCAATAGGAATAAGAATGAGATTCTGATTCCGTTCAATCAAACAATTGGAATCAGAATAACTCATTATGATTCTGATTCCATACACCTATTCTTACAAACCAAACGGGGCCTTAACTCCATTTGGGTTATGTTGGGTTTTGGCCTTTTGGGTGACAATTTTTTTACCTGTTTTGTTAAAACATTATTTAGTTCTCAAACTTAAAGAGTAGTAAATTAAGATTAAATAACTTTAATATTTTTCATTTTTGTTTGTAATACATATTGAATATACCGGGAAATAAAGAGGTTATGATACAATAGGTGCACATAATGTCAATTTATCTTACCATTGGGTTTGATTCAGCACCTCCATACTTGAGAGGACAATATGATGAACATCTTATCTGGTGCCCGTTGCATTATCACCAATATTATCATATATCACAAGGATGAAGTAATAGTTCTTTTAGCAATATCATACTAGTCTTACATTTGAAAATGTTCACTATGCTAATATATACAATTCATATAATATTTTATACACAAATAGGCAAAAAAAATGTCCTATTCAACGGCGTGGATCACAAAATCAAGTACAAACTCAGAGTTGAGCCAAAGCCATGAGTTCTCGAGTTGAGACTTGAATGAACAGTGGCCAAATAATCGACACAAAAGCACACTTCCTTTTCTGCCTAAAATGGACCCACCACTTGGGAAAAACGGGTTCACTTATCACTTAATTTGAACCCATTTCATGTGTTGTCCGATGTGGTGTTTATAATTTTATATACGACTGTCTCGAAATAATAATAATAATAATAATAATAATAATAATAATAATAATAATAATGAAAAATTAGTATCTTGTATTTTGACTTGAGTGATAATTTGGTTTCCAAATTTTAAAATGTGATAATCCAGTATGAATCACTCATTAAGTGACATTTGAAAAGTCAAAATGTCTTAAGAATGTCATCTAATTCTTTATCAACCATCTAAACATTTACAATAAAATGAATAGTCTCAAATTCTAGATTCTCCTAAACAGTCATCAACTTTTTTGAATAGAAGAAGTTAGAATTTGGAACTGTTTAGTTTTTTGTCAACGTTTAGATGGTTGATAAAGAGAATTAGATGGCATTTGAAGGGCATGTTTGACTTTTCAAATGTCACTTAACGGCTGATTAATGGACTGGTTAACAATAAGTAATGGATTGTCACATTTTGAAAGTTTGGATACTTGATTGTCACATTTTAAAAATTTGGGTATTGGATTGTTGCATTTTAAAATTCGGGGACCAAATTGTCACTCGAGCCAAAATACAGGATACCGATCGAGAATTTTTCCTAATAATAATAATAATTGGGGTGAGTTTTGACATCTGGACCACTTGGGATTTGACTGTCTTTTCTCTATCATCTTCGAATTGGGGCGGGTTTGGTATATGGACCATTTTGGAAAATCTGGATCACTTTGAATTATACTTGTTCATGGGTTGGGTCGGGCTTTACTCTGTATTAACAGATTTTTCTAAGGCCCGAGCCTAAGCCCAGCCTGACCATCGGGCCTACAACTTGGGCCCAAGCCCGACCCTCATAAAAAGCTCAAAACCCGGGCCTGGGCCCGAGCCCAAGCCCGAAGTCTAGCTCATGCCGCTGCTATTGCTGAAGCGGCTGAATAGAGAGAGAAAGAGATTATAAAGAAAAAATAAAAAATGTATATATATTAAATTATTAATACATATATATTCTAATAAATATTATATATTTATATTATATAAAATACATATTATATATTTTATAAAATATATAATGCTTAATCGGGCCAGACTTTTTTGACAAATCCCGAACCCGGCCCGAAACACAAACGAGCTTGCTATTTTGGGCCCGAGGTCAGGCCCGTGGGCTTAATTACATGTCCAAACCCGACTAGAGTGCAGGCCGGGCCGGGCCGGGCCAGACCGTTAGGCTACCCGGCCCATGAACAGGTCTACTACTTTGAACCCATTTATATGACGAGCCACGAATCTGCGTTCACTAGTGTGAGAATAAAGGCGGGATTGGAATCATGGATTGAATTTGGATCTAGGTCTAGCCAATTTGTTTTTGATCACTGGTATTAGGTTTCCCTTTCCCTTCCTTCTTCTTCAAACAAAACATAGCTTAATTGAGCAATGTGAATCAATTAATAGCCATGATTATGTTTGGATAAACTTCTGCTTTTGAACTTTGAATGTGATAAATAAAATTGTGAGAGGATGTGCAGTAAGTGTTTTGTTTTCTAGAACATAATTTGAAGTCAAATTACTTTGATTTGAAGTCTCAAAACACGAAGCTTAAAATTGGAGGTTTGTGCTTCCGGACTTTAAAAACACAATTTTTATCCAAAATGTAGCATACATTTGTTAAACAATAGCAAGCTTCTCCCAGTCTTCCCTGCCATGTACATGAAGTTATGAACCCTTAAACACCGCAATTGGGGAACAACATAAATTAGTGGACTGGCAAGTCAGGAGTAGGGGTGAGGTAGTATCTCTAAGACAAAACTATTTATAATTCATGAGTAGTTTCTAAAGTGAGAGTAAGGGACATATATGTTTTCTTTATGTCCGTTGTATGCTTGGACAAGAGGGATAAAAAACATCCAATGAAAATTTCAGAAAAAAATGGGCATTTGCTCTTTTATAGATAGTATAGATAACATATTACATATAGCATGTATTATAGGTTGCATATTGTAATATATAATATAAAATGTAACTTAAAATAATGTATAAATTATGATCATTTACTAAAACACTCCTTATAATCTGCAATCAATTTACTTAATCGATCTTCCATTAGATGACAATGGAAAATGAGAGTTTTAACCTTAACCCACATGAATAGATTTAATCAAAAGAAAAATAAAATAAAAATACAATTTTTTGCCCTTATTAAGACACTAGCAACCACTCTATTTGGTCAATTTTATACAAAGAAGTGTTAATTGGTAATTTTGGAATAAACATTCATAGGCACATGCCCTTGAACATCTCTCATTCAGTTTAAGTGATCATGTTATTATTTTCAGATGGAAAAACAAATACTTCTTAATGAAAGGTTAATTAAGTAAATAGATCGCAAACTATAAGGGCGTTCTAGCAAATGACCTTATAAATTGTGTATAGATAACATATATATAAATATGTGTGTTATATGCCAGGTCTGAAGTATTTGGCCCAGGTCCAGCCCTGAAATTTGTGGGCCTGACTTAGGCTTGAAAACAAAACTGAAATTTTGAGTCTGTGCTGAAAATGACCACCCCTAGTTGGGAGAACAACATTTGAAGCTCAGTTTATGAAAATAAAAAAGAATTAAATAGAAATAAATTTTTAAAATAAACCAATGCTAACTACAACTATACTCTAATATTGCTTCTACTTTTTCCCAATCCAAGGTCCAAATAAGTGGATTTAGCAACAATGGTCGCCTGCGTCAAGTCTATGCTAGATTACATACAATAGAAATAAAGATTCTTAAATGAATTTTTTTTTTGTTTTTTTGGTATTCGGTGCCTTTGACCCCTTTTTCCCCCAAGAACTGGTTGCGGGTTTTGATTTTGCATCAACGCTGCAACAAACCAACTAACACACTAACGAACCAATTCTCCATGAGTGATTTTTAAATGAATTGATTGCGATTATTTCTTCTGATGACCTATATTCTTATCTATGCAGTTGTAAAGGACCACGGGGTGTTCTTTACTGGTATTGGATAAGTGTGATATATTGTGGACCACCAGACATGATCATGGTCATAGCGCGTTTGAACGTTGAAATTGGGAGTTTTAAAACTCACCCTACCTATGGTGTGGTATTCTGTTATGCGGTATGGTGTGTTTTTTTTGGATTTTGAGAGGGGAGAGTCCAATCCAGGTGCAGGTGGAATTCAATCCCAGTAAAGACCATGGGGTGTTCTTTACTGGTATTAAATAAGTGTGATATATTTTGGACCACTAGACATGATCATGGTCATAGCGTGTTCGAATATTGAAATTGGGAGTTTTAAAATTCACCCTACTTATGGTGTGGTATTCTGTTATGTGGTATGGTGTATGTTTTTTGATTTTGAGAGGGGGGAGTCTAACCCAGGTGTAGGTGGAATTCAATCCTAAGTCTTTGTTAGACCAATAACAGGTCTTACCAATCAGCTGCTGATTGACATATTTGACTAAAATGGTCATTAACTTATTTACCTGAGAATATGGGTAAATATATTTACCCGAATAACTTCTTCAAAGTGGTTTTTCTGAACCACTTTGAAGAAGCTTATATTGGAATCTTCTATACAATGTTTCTAAACTTTGTATCTGTGCTGTACATGAATATCACAGTTACAAACAAATAGATGCAAAACTGAACCAAGTGAAAAGTGTGTACTTGATTCAAATTTGCACGGAAACCAAGTATAACCTAATTCTTATACTTGAGATTAATGGATTAGGTAGACTTAGCATTATTATATGTAAAGAGAGTCAAGGACAAAATAACATGGTTTAGGTTGTTCAAATGTTTGACTTGGTTGACTTTAGCATTATTTATTTATATTAGGTTGCACCCAAAGTTAGGTTACACCCAAGGCCTCAATCCTAACCCAGCCCAAAATTAAGTGGATTCATATTTTTCAACCCTAATTAATCATAAACAGACCCGACCCAAACCTACTTTTTTTGGGTTGAATTAGATTAACCAGGTCCAAGGTGCACAATTGCAAAAGACGGAACTCGGAAGGGAAAGAGCGGCATTTCCATTTTAGTTGCTAATGATATTTACGTGGAGATTACAGAAATCCGAATGGTTTTAGAGAGGCCCATGGGTATGTTTCGTGATTTCCATCCAAGTTAGAGACACCTTTTCTGAAGTTGATATAATATTGACATATGGCAACATATGTCAAGCAAAGAACGACAAATAGTCAGTCAAATACCAGTATTTGACAATAGCCCACCAAAGAAGATCCATGACAAGGCTTCTAAATTCTGATCTACTCCCTGCTCCTGGCCCCTATATAAGTTTTATTAACGAAGTAGAAACCACAACCAGCAGTAGCAGCCAGGAACCTATCACGATGATGAGCAGTTTTCCGGCAAAATTTTCAACCGCCTCATTGCTGGCAGTTTTCATTCTTCTAATAAGCGTTTGTTTAGGGAGCTCGGCTTCCTCATCTTCGCCTGGTAGTCCTCTTTTAGCAAAATTAATTTCCTCGGTTGATTGAATTACATCTACCCATGAATGCCTATATTAGTCATTATATTTATAGATATTAGATTTTAAGTTTTATATAGTCGATGTTTTCGTTTTATCGCCTGAGACTGAGAAACATATATTAATATGTGTTAGCTTTCTTATTTCTCCCCCTCCTCCTCCAAAGGTGGCGATAATGGATTGCAGCAGTGGTTGTCCGGCTGTCAAGGTGACCCAAGAAAGTTGGTTCCGGGAAACATATACGGAGTGGGATGTGAAAGAAATGAGGATATTTTGGGGAAGAATGAAGGCAGCTGGCATCGGAGCTTAAGAGGAACCTTGGTCCGGCCCCCAACGCCCATAAAGAACCCGAGTAGATCTCAATTTTATTATTCCCCTCCGCCTCTCTTCTGAGCTCTGATTCCCCTTGCACCTGGCCGGGGTTGCTGCCTTGCCTGCCTCCGCCTGCCTTGAAAATTGAGATGTCTTCATATTTCTTTTGAAGCTAAATATAATAAAATAATTCAGCACTCCATTGTGAATCATACGACTCATCAGAATATGAATATGAAATTAGGTGAACCAATACATGGGATTGGGACCCTTCTAATGGTGAATCAATGTATGAATATGAGATTAGGTATATAACTATATACTATCCTTGTGAGGGAGTACATGAATGTGAATCATACGACCACTCACCAAATGGTTGAAATTGTGTTACATTCAACTGTGGTCCTTTCTTTTCTCATACTTTGAAACAAAGTCCAAGTCATACAATCAAACATATTTCAAATGGGTAAATTTCTTAAACTATTCTTAAGTATCTTTAAGTTTCCTCTCACATGCCACACCACATGACTTAATTTTAAGAAAATATCCTTGTCTTCTAAACCTCTCATTCTTCTTCTATCTCTCATGTCTCTCCTTTCCATCTATTCATTTCCGATTCTAAGCCACTCTTCTCATGTCCCACCAACATCAACAAACAGAACATTTTCCGGTGGTTTCATTGCTGGGCATCTGATGCGCGGCTCTCAGAAATAGAAACAGCTACAAAGAAAGAAGAAAAGTGAGCAAGGTGCTCAAGAGAGAAGTGACTGATCGATTTTCAGAAGGAGAAAAGAAAACAAAGCCAGAAGCATCATGTCTCCTTCGTTATCCATGTATACAACTTCCCATTTATTCCGTGGATGGAGCTCTCAATCTCTAACTTCTTCTCCAATTCATTTATAAGTTGATCATACTCTTCCAACACAGACAAGTCTACAGCCCGACCAACTGCATATCCTCGCACATTAATCTTTATGCAATTTCTGGCAGAAGTACCTCAAATCTGCTTGCTCTGAATCGCCTTCAAATAGAAAGAAAGAACATCATATCAAATGCTCATGTGGGTTTTCCTTCGAACCAAAATTGTTAGTAGGTGAATCAGAATGTGAGCTTTTCGATGATGTGTCGGCACTCGATCGACAATCTACACGTTCACAGTAGTTAAGAAAATCCATTTTAAGTTTGCTTGTGAATTTTAATGGCACCGTATCTGATACGTGTTCTCCAATCTGGCGGATTAAAATATCTCGCCTTGGAGTTGAGCGCTAAAGTGATGGACTGGAGTCCATTTTAATTTTGATTGTGATTTTTAATAGCACCGCATCTGATAATATGCGTTCTCCAACGACTGTTAGTTGTTTCCGACGGATGGCAACGAAGAACATCATGGAGCGATGGATGAGAATCCAAGGGATGTTCAAGATTAAAGGAAAGCTCTGTCCATGGAATAAATGGGAAGTTGTATGCACTGATAACAAAAGGAGACATGATGCTTGTGGGTGACGATCCATGGCTGGAGTTCATTAACATCGTGGCATAGTATAGAAACGAAACATGTTGAGAAAAGCTTAAAAAAAATAGCAAAAATTGAATTATCCTGGAAGAAGAATTCTTCATGAGAAAATTCAATATAAAAAATTGTTTTAACATTTTCCTCCCTACTTTTTATATAGACATACATCTTTTATGGCTCTTACAAAAAAATTCTTATTCTATAAAAACACTTCATAATACAATCATATTAAAACTCTTAAAAAATAAAGTCTTAATTGAACAATCCCAATTTAATAACATACTCTTTAATAGAATCCTATTAAAACTCTTCAAAAATAAAGTCCTAATTGAATATAAATTCAAAATCTTGCTATAACGCTAACTTGGTAATTACGAAATAAGATAGAAACTCTACGATGGAACCAACTTGGTAAAAACGAATTAAGAAAGAAATTCTATTATGATGCTATATCGATGAATATTTTACTAAGTTAAGTCGGTGGTGTCATCTCTGCTTCTTATATGCCTTTGAATAATTCCAATTTGCATTGAATTTATTAGTTTCGTTTTCTGCTGCATCATCCTCTCCCTATATGTACTAAGATGGACTTTCGAAAATCAACTTTGTAAATGTTTACTCAATTGGTCTAAATCACGTACTACATCACACGTTAAGAAATATTTTTATCCACTAAGGAGAATAAGTGAAGAAGATGAGTCCAAATCATCTCTTAAGCCACATTGGGATCCAAATCTGCAAGCAGTGATTTTTCTGCGAGAAGGACACAGATAGATGTGGAGGCAAAGAAGAGATCGAAAATGAAGATAGAAGCGGAAGCGGAAGCAAAGGTGGAGGTGAAGACGGAGACCAAAAATAAAGACGGAAAAAAAGCATCAATCTGCTTCCTATCTTTTTGAAAGTTTTCATCAATTGGGTTTTATTTTGAAAATTTAAAGAATAGTGGAGCGTAAATTCAATATTTTGTTTTTTTTCCTACCAACACTTAATGATCATGTTATTTGTCAAAAACAGTAAGAGTACTTTAAGACAATATGTAAACAATAAGTATAGAGTTAGTCAATTAGTTAAACCATAAGTATAATTAAAAAAAATGCCCAATTTGAAATTATGTGCTTTAGAGTCCAAGTCAGAGAAAAATAATTACTATAACTAATCCCAATTGAATCTCGAGATTAGTCATTCGCCTCCCATATGATTAGAATAATATGAGACATTAAGGTTGCAAAGAGTATTCGATCATCCAATTTTGAATTCGACTTTGATCCTATTGAGTCTGATCCAAAATTGATCTGTTTATAATTTGGTCAAATATGAATCTACCCCTATCAAATTTGATTCGATTTAAATATATATGTTCATATATACTTAAAAAGGTATTATATCTATCATCGAAGTTGGTCTTAATGTTATATTTTCACTAAATTGTCATATGTTCAACTTTTATACAAGTAATTTTTAATTCATTTTGTTCATAAAATATATTATTAATGCCATTTTTAGCTCATCTTATTAATAATGCATACTATTTTAGTTATTTTTAGTCTAATTTATTTATACTGTTTAATATCCAATTATAATCCGAATTTAATTCGAATCCGCTAGATAGATATGATCCATTTTTGGATTCGAATGTTAACAAATCAAATTCAGATCTCGGATCTGATCCGTTTGCAGCCCTATGAGACATGGTGTCAGTTATCCTACAACAAACAATATTTCCGATTAAGTCATAGTTTTTTTTTTTTTTACTTAAAAAGCCATTATCTGCTATGATAGACCTGCCTATTATATATTATTACCTCTAATTTGGGTTTTGAGAGGTAACATTTGCAACATGCACAGAATTTTTGCTTTGAAGAGATCCAAATTTGTCTTTCTACAAAATCACTATTTATTAATACAATGTTGTTAATTATAAAAATAAAAAAAGAATGAATTCCAAATCCAACAATCAAGCATATATAACATTAGATATAATAAGACAGCCAAATGCATACACCAAAATTTGTGGTTGAGACCCCTATGTTTTTACACAAACTCCATTCTAAATATGTACAAATCACAAAAAAAAAAAAAAAAAATTAAAAAGAGATACAGGGGTTGGGATACCTGTAACAAGTTTAATCCGACCGGTAATGCAACTGGAGTGGGAGTGGGATGAGAGGAACAAATGACAACCAATATGTCCAATAGTGATTTGCAAAGGCAAAAAAATGAAAATGCCCATATCAAAATTGAGAAAACACCATTGCAATTGCAGCATTATATATTTCCAAATTGAAAAAAGGTAAAATGCACAGAAGATTGATCTGAGACCGGTGGCCATCCCTTGATCAGATCTGGTGCTACAGCTTGTGTAGAACAAGGTGTTTAATTTAGAGGGATAATAGTCAGTGTACTTGGGTAAAACGGGAAGAAGATCAATGATTGTATAGATCGGGTGCCAAAGCTTATGACCATTGCAGTGGGATATCTTATTCATAACAAATAGCTAATCGGATTCGAATCTAGATATGACTTTATTCGATTCGATAAATATCTAAATTTGATCGATTATTTAATTTTTATATATAATATATAAAAGATTTAAATGTTTAATATAATTTATATATATAATAATTAAATTATATGGATAATTTATATATTTATGTATTTTATATAAATAAAATATTTATTTTATATATTTATTAATTATGTAAAATAATTAAATCAAATATTTAAATATTTAATCGAATTCGAAATTAGATATCAAATTTTCTAATCATATTCGAATTTGGATATTGCTTGATCCGATTTGAATTCAATCTGTTTACACCCCTATTTAGACAGTTGCAATGGCAAAAGAGGTGTGAGAACATGTTTTTGTCTCTACGATGATTTTTTACCTCGATAGAAAGGAGAGGGTGAATTTACATCGATTTTATCGTCGAATCTCAATGTAAACTTCCCGGTGAATGTAATTACTCACTTATATGGTGTGCAAAAACACCACAAACAAACACATGGGCAAAACCGGACCGAAGTGCAAATTTACACCGGTCTAGTGTTTAGTGTTTACACGGTTACACCGCAAAGAAAAGCAGCCTTATGGATGATTAGGGCACATTCCAGTTTTCTGAAGGGCGTATTTCTTTCTCTCCATTTCAAAGCTTCAAAATTAAAAAATGGGATGCGGCGGCGTCCTCTACAAGTTAACGCTGTTAGATGCAGTGATGCATTATATGGATCGAGAGGGAATATTCTAAATGGACACATCTGATTTATTTTGATGAGGTCACGGGCCAAATTACACTTGAACCGGGCGGTTGAACGTTGATCCATGAGTCGCACTCGCAGTATCTAATCATCGTATCGTATCGTTAAAGAATCGACGGTCACAAATGGGGTAGCAAAATCATATAAGCAGTGACAAACACCCAAAATTTCCTTATTACTTTCATCATCGTTGAGCCCTTCTCCCTCCAGCGACGCATCCACTTAAAAAATTTCCCGCCAGCTCAAACAGGTCATTTTGGCGCCAGGAGAGTCAGACAAAACTTATTCATGAAATAAACTGACCATCTCTCTCTCTCTCTCTCTCTCTCTCTCTCTCAATCGGTAGAACTGCAAATGGCGAGCTCCAACTCTCCATCTTTCTTTCAAGATCTCAAAATGAGAGAGCTCAATGGATTCAGAGGTGTTTCACCATATCCATTTCTTTCCTTTTCTTTCCATTATATTTTATCAAGCTTTCTCATATATAATTACTAATTCCCATTTGTCCCCAATTTATGCAGTTCGGAAACGCCCACACCTCGGCGATCTGGCGTCAGATCCCGGAAGCTTTGGATCCGGGGTTTTGTCCATCGAGCACAATGGCGTAGTGAATCCTCCAATGGCTGCTTCGTTCTGTAAAGTGGGTAAATCGAGCTCGTTCTCAACAAGTTCTGCTTAAAGAAGTAAAGGCTTATTTGAAGTGTTATTTTGTTGGTTTTGCAGTCGAGTAAGAATTATCATCTTCTCGCCGTTTCCGATGAGGATGGGTATGTTAGCATTTATGACACTCACCGAAAACTTCCATCTTTAACCTCCTGTAGAGAAAATGCAGGTACATTGCTCTCTTTATTTCCCAGCCTCATCTCTCTCTCATTATTCGCTCTTTTCAACACTCGGAGTATAAAACTACTGTTAATTTGGGTTCAGATGAAGCTAGGGTTTGCGATTGGGTGGCACATTCTAATGCCATTTTTGATGTACGCTGGGTCAAGGTACTTCAAAACCTCTATATCCTTTGTTACAAATTTTGATTCATTGTTAGTTTACACTATTTAGTTGTTATTTCTCGGTGGATTAATTACAAAGTGGAAAGCATGGCGTTTCTTGCTATTACATTCATTGTTGAAAACTCGAAATGTACAGGCAACAAATAGTGATTTTTTTTAATAATTGGTACTCTCTTTGATATGATATAACAAATAATAAAATTTGCATGGGGTATCGAGTTTCTTGTTTGCTTCTTTGGAATTAATCTTCTCCGAGGATACCGTCTTATTACTTGAGACGAGCCCATGGGTCTATTGGTTAACACATATTGGCCAAAAAGTTCCATCCAACGAAGACTAACTTTTCTATTCCAGAAAATTTGTGTCGTTTAAATGTCCAAAAAGTTTCTATCACCGTATATCTTCTTATCCTCGTCTTTTTGAATTTAAGAAAACAAAAAGAATGAACTTATTTGCAGGGTCTGGTAAAGTCTACCTGTGGATTTCCTCTTCTGTGGTTATTTTAATGGCAAATTTTGGTGTCCTGTTACTAATCGGTTGTGTTTTATGTTTTGGCAGGATGATAGCCTCATTATGACAGCTTCAGGGGATCAATCGGTAAGCTACTCTAACTTCTTTAGAAAAATTGTTAATCTAACATATTTCAACCCTCCCATCTGATGTAGTCTGGTTGAAGCTCATTTGAGTGAAGTTTATTTGGTTTTAGTTCCTAGACTAGGACAGTTCCCCAAAAAGGAAAATGAAAGATCTAGTTCAAGATTAAATGTGTGTTTTAAACAAGGTTAGAAAACTTGGTTTGTCCATTTGAACTGTGAGAGGTATAGCATCCAGCATTTCAACTGTGTGAAATGTGATTCACACAATCTCTCTGCATCTGTTTTGTAATATGTAGAGCAATCTTTTCTCCAAGTTGCATCAACATAATATCTCATTCTTCACAAGTACCAAGTCGCGTACATGAATGTTTCAACTTTCAACGGTGCATCAAATGTTCCTGTTGGAATGATAATCTAGATATTAGAATAAATGGTATCAAACTAATGCAAAAATATGATGTTTATGGTGTATCCACAAAGGACACTGTTTTAATGAACTTTGTGCTTCTGACAGATAAAGATATGGGACGTGGAGAAGAGAAGTTGTGTCAATGTCCTAACTGGGCATACAGGAAGTGTGAAATCGCTGTGTTCTCACCCCTCCAATCTTGGTAGGCTAATGTTTCTGTTCTGCATGGTTCTTATTTGACCACAGTAATTCCTGTCTTCAGTAAAGAATTTTGATGTAGACTACTGTAATGGCATTGATTTTTTCTTCTGGAACAGATCTTCTTGTTTCTGGCTCAAGAGACGGATGTTTTGCTCTTTGGGACCTTAGATGCAAGCCCAATTCAAAATGTAGACGTCTAGAGCCCTCCCTAAGGTAGTTTGTTACAACCTGTTCTTTGAAATTTGTCTTTATCTACTTTGCTAAATGGTTGAAAAATTAATATGTGCATCAAATTCTAATCCATCTGTCACCATTCAGTCCAATTCATATGGTGAAAGGGGCTCATGTTTCAGCTCAAGGAAAACGGGTCAGGCGTGGCAAGGCATGTCAGTTGCTGCATCTTCTTTTGGTGAAAGATTAGCTCCTCTTAATGCTAATGCTTATTGAGTTTCAATTTTTTTTCAGGCAGCTTCTATGAGCATTACGTCAGTTCTTTATCTCAAAGATGAGATTTCTATAGCTAGTGCTGGAGCAGTTGACAGGTGCACATGAAATTTTATGGCATTTTCTCATGAAGCGATATGTTTCATTAGTAGATTATGTGGGTTACAAATAATGACACTTATAATTGGCTGTTTTCCCACTTACACCTATCTTTTATTTTGGTTTATTTTAGCGTGCTGAAGTTCTGGGATACTCGCAACTTTAAAGCCCCAATTACTCAGGCACAACCTCATCCTGAACCATCAACTGAAAAGGTTGGTTTAACTCTTGCCAACAATGGCTATTTATAAAATAATAAACATTTTTTGAGTTTTTGATTTAATATCTTTGCCCTAGGATAAATATATTTTAGTGAAATGCTTCTATCTTGATGGTTTTTGGCCATCTGTTTCTCACCTTCCAGGAAAGAAGGTTACATGGCATATCTAGCCTGACCCAGGATTCAAATGGATTATTTCTCTCAGCTTCCTGCATGGACAACAGGTATTTTGATTCATCTGATTTGTCCTTTTCCTTACAAGGTCATTAGCTTTCACACTAAGGAACACTTGTATTCTCAAACATTTCATGACATTAATGCCCAGAAGTAAAGACAGTCATGTTACTGAATGAAAGAATTTCTCAAGATTTTTTTAATCTGTCAGAATCTACTTGTACAATGTGCTTCAGCTTGATAAAGGTCCAGTGCAAACTTTCTTTGGTAGCAGAATCGAGTCATTTTATGTCAAGGTAAGATTTGTATTATATGAAACACTATTAATATGCCTTGTAGAGGTATTAGTGTTTCTTACTTTAGCTGATTTATGCATTGGCAGGCAGCAATCAGCCCAGATGCAACTCACATACTCAGTGGCTCTAGTGATGGAAATGCTTACATTTGGCAGGTTTTAATTTTATTTATTTACCAAGGATGTGTCTTCTGCTTTGTCCTGTTCTGTATTTAATTTGACAAATTGTGTTTGATCAGGTGAAGAATCCTCAAGCAAGACCCATCATATTGAATGGCCATGAAGGAGAAATTACAGCTGTGGATTGGTATGCACTTGAACGATAATGCACTGAGATTCTCAAGTACTCCTTTCTGAAGTGTTATTTATGGACAGCACTTCATTTGATTGCAGGAGTCCAGATGTTGGGAAGATAGTTACTTCGTCTGATGATTTTACAGTAAGCATGCACCACACTTTACAAATATGTTAGGCATGATTTAGATATATAGTAGCATCTGTTGGTATCTTCCAAAAAAATGATGTTTGCTAGATAAAATTCTCTTGATTGATAGGTTCTCCAATTATGTCTAATATCCTTGTTATGATGTATTCTTTAGGTTCGTGTCTGGAATATCCAGCAGGCTTATTACTCATCTACAAGATCCCCAACATCTATTCGAAGGAGAGTGACTGCAATCCCAAGCATGGAGTGCCGAAATCTGTTCAAGGAAGAAAGTCCAATGTGTTCCACGAAGACTGTCAGAGGTCCTTCAGAAGAAGCCTTAATCGGGAACACTTCACATGATCAAATCAGTATGCCTGAAATCAGTACACCTGAATCCCTGAAGAAAAAATTTTCATCGAGTTCATTTTCGAATGAAGAACCAGAGATGGAAAAGACTCCGGAAGCTGCACTGAAGAGCCCATCTTCTGTCCTGAACCCACCTTCATCCTTGAAAAGAAGAACAATCAGAGATTACTTTGTAGCAGCTTCATGAATCTTAGAAAAGGGGGTACTACAGTTGGGTTCCCTGATACAATGTAAAGAAGATAAGAATTAATATGGATCGCTTCGTATTGAAATGGGCAAGTCCTTTGCAGATAATTTAGAGTGAGTTCTTTATTTAATCTGTAATTACTTGACAATTGTTTTTTTTTTTTTGAAGTTTGCTAACATACAAAATGGTAAAGCTTATAGGTCTTTGATTTTGCAGGTTGTATTTGATATGTACAGGCGGATTATTTGGCTATTAATTGATGGGCTTAAAGGGTGTCGTCAACTTAGATGAAGGGTCGTCCTATCCAAGTTTATTTTTTGTACACTTATCTGCTATCTGGTCTTTATTTAATCCTCAATCACCTTTTCTACATACTTGAAAGGTGATTTGGGTTTGATACTTGTGATTCCCTAGCATTCTGGCAATGGGTGACTAGTCCTTTTGTAGCTAAACAAAATGTTAAATCTCATCCGTGTTCAACTGGTCCTCGGGCCATGAGTGCATAAAGCATTCTTTGATTTCTTTTAGCTTCCATTGCTTGGGCCTATCAGCAGGAACTGAAAAAACCATGGTCAATAAAACATTTAAGTGGAAGAAAATTGCAGAAAGTGCATTTGTGACTATGTACTCGAGGTGTGGTTGTTTGAGTTCTGCTTATAGAGCTTTTAATAGTCAAAGCCTGATTTCTTTTAATAGTCAAAGCCTGATTTGGTTCAATGGTCTGCTCTGATAACTGGACTCATTCAATCTGGAGCTTGTGAAGAAGCCCTGTTATTGTTCAGGGAAATGAATCTAAGAGGGTCAAAGAGTAGATGCTATTTCAATTGCCAGCGCACTAGCAGTTTGTGCTTGGTTGGCAATGGTGGGACCTGGCAGGGAGATCCATGGTTATGTACGGCATGGATTCGAGTTAGAAGTCATGGTTTCCTCTGCTCTGGTAGACATTATGCAAAGTCTGGTTTTGCTGGGTGTGAATTTCGGGTTTTCAAAGCTATGTCTAAAAGAAACACCATTGCCTATAATTCTGTAATTTCCGGTCTCGGTTCAAATGGACTTGCCATATGTTTAACGAGATGCTGGAAGAAGGATTTCAACCTGACTAATCCACTTTTTACATGCTGCCATGCTGGGCTTTCTTTATAATGGCTGGGATCTCAGAAGAATGGAAAACGAATTTTACATTGAACCTAGTATAGAGCATTATGTATACATGGTGAAGCTTCTTGGGATTGCTGGAGAGTTTGAAAAAGCTTATTCAGTTAATCCAGTCTTTTCCGGGATTAGCAGATTTTATGCGTTTGGGGTGCACTGTTGTCTTGCTCTGAGGTTCATGGGAATTATGAATTAGAAGTTGTAGCCCATCTGCTTTTTGATATTGCACCAGACAAGTACTTATAGAGTCGTGCTTTCTAACATATATGCCAGTAATGGGAGGTGGAATGATGCGAAGAACTTGAGAGATGATATGATGGAAGGAGGGCTTCGAAAAATGCCTGGTTTAAGTTGGACATGATTTACATGCAATTCCTGCCTTCTGACAAGACAAACATGATCATGATTTCATATCAATTCCAAAATGAAAATTGAAAAATATAGCAGACTGAGGAGCTTGTACAAAGTAATTTAACTCGTATTATTTGTCACCAATAGTTTGGATTAGATTCTTGTTCTTTTTCTGTTGTTTTTTCTAGTCTATTTTTGTTTTCTGAGGTAGGGAATGAAGGGTGGTAGATAGGTGTAAAATGCTAATTAGTTAATTAGATAGGATCACTAAATCTTTGTTAATCCGATACATGCAGCCAATCCAGCTCAGAGCCTCAGAGTAGGAGAGAAAATGGGTGGTCGGGAGACCCAGCACTGAGTTAGGATCGGGCTGGGCCTAGATTTCTATAGAGGGCTTAGCCGACCCTAGCTATAGGACCATCATATATACTGAGCTATAGATCAGGGCCAGGAAAATAGCTACCCATACGGCCAACCATTGTTAAGTTACAATTGTTCAACCATATGGGTGATTATCTCTTTGTTCTTGAACAAGTGAAGGCTGTCTTGGTCATTGCTTGCTTACACATGGACGTCTAAAACCATCACAAATCATGATACAGATATATCCCTTTGCATGGACGCTCATTCTTTTCTCCCATCGCATTACATCATAAATATATTCTCATTGATCTGCTGTTAGCATAAAACAGAAAAGAAAAGAAAATGAATTAAAGGGAATGCCCTTTCAATAAGATGACGGACATTTACACCTGAGAATAGTAGATGGAGATTTTGATGACTAAGTGACCAGATCATAGAACCAGGGGTTCTCTTAAAACGCATTAGATTTCTCCCTAATTCAACATGTTGAGTCAATGGTCACAACCTCTCATTTCAGGGAATTCTTTTAAATCGAAAAGTTAATACACGTGAGGGAGTTTCAATCCAACAAGATAAATGTCATTAAGTTACATAATGTAGAAATGCGTCCTGGGAGGGAAAAAACAAAAGAAAAAAAAATGGAGAATTTGCAAATATCTAACTAGTTCACAAGTTTTATTTCCGTTTCTCTTTGTTCCTGTTTTCCTCCCTTTTTTTTTGAGTTAGTAATCATCTCATGAATACAACCCTATGTCATAAACAAAGAAGGAAGAGCAGCGCTAGGATCTTGTTTACTTCACTTTATGAGAGATCTTTATATAGTTCAAGAGCCTATTTAGGGCCTTGCCGCTGTCTATGGCCTCTCTAGCTCTGTCCAACGCTGAGTTTATGTCATCCGCACCATCACATCCCAACAAGTGGTCCACCATTCCAGCATTCAAGACAATCCGGTCATAAGCTGGACCTTTTTTGCCACGAAGTGCAGCTAAACCCAACTCAATATTCCTCATAATCTAAATTCAAAAAGGAGCAAAACACACTCCACTGTTAATAAACCTCATGGAACTAAAGGTAAAAGGGAAAGATGTCAAAAGGGTTATATTAAAATAAAAAGAAAAGAATGATGGCATTAACAGGAACATGGAATTGTTACTGAATGGGCAAAGAAACTGTAAACCCTTCCAAATTTCTCACCGGACTAAGCACTTGAGAAACATGCCCAAGCAAGTCAAAATGATCAAAGTTCAGGGTGTTACTTGGTTTAAAGAAACAGAAACTTGTATACTGTATCTTTTTTTTTTTTTTTTGAGAAAACTTCCATCTTGCATCTCATAAATAAAGATATCATTTTGCAATAATTAGATGAATTAACATAGAAAAATGTTCACAACTCATGAGTTCAATTAGAAGCAAGTTTGAATATTTTGTTCCAAGAACGAGGAGGATCATCAAAGGAATGTCAATGAAACTTACTGATCTGTCAGTTCTTGGAGTATCTGTGGGTTCAAAACCATAGTCCTTAGCATTAACCTCAATTTTGAAAGTCTCACGTGAAATGCCTGCAACATATAAAAAATGACTCTTAACGTTTCTCTTAAACCAATAACTCAACATTTCTCTCTCTAACAGGAAGAGAGAGAAAAAATAAAAGAGAAAAAAAGGAGAGAGAAAATGAATGGAAAACAACTCAGATATATTACCATCAACATCAGATATAGATTCCTTGCTAAGTGAACGGAACCCGGAGCAGTAGTTTACAGGAAGACCTTTTGACAAATGTACTGATCGTAGTCTTGTTGTCATTGATAATGCACCTTCCTCACCCTACACCAGTGACACATTAGAAGAAAACACGAATAGTGGGAATCCTACAGGTACTAAGGAGTAAAATTCAACTGCAGGCGTACAACCATCTAAAATTGAAAATGCACATAACTTTATCCTTACACCTAAGTAATTTTCTAAAAGCAAGGACAATCAAAACAAGGAACCAGTAGAGTTTTGTAACTAAAAATTAGTATAGTGCAAAGTGTGGAGTGTGGACCTTCACCACCAAACCAGAATGAACACCTCTTCTTCTCATAAGCATTAAAAGAAAATCCTCATAACCTTCATGATAAAATCCAGTAACAATAGCTTCTTTCCCACGGGCCTGTTAATAAATCAACACATTTTCAGCATTTCTTTTAGGAAGCATTCTGAATGAAGTTTTGTCCTACAAGTTATTTCTAATAGTAATAGAAGGGTATGACAATGATAACTGGTTCCAAAATAGGACCACAATGTCTTCTTCTGAAAATGGCTCATACAGTCATACTGTTTATATTGTGTAGGAGTAATAAGGACATAAGCAGAGGCCAGTAAAATAAAATTTTAATTTAAATAACTCACCCTAACAAATTGCTGAACCTTTTCAGTTGTTGCTAATGGTGGGCGTTTTTTTATGTGCTCCCTCAAGCCTATTAATGAATATCTGCAAAACAGCAAAAGTAACATCAGGGTTGTTAAAGGCGTGTATGCTGATCTTGTTTTCATAAAATATTTTTCCATCGTAAGTTGCTTCTTTCTGTATTTTTATTTAGAATATGGTAGGTTGTGCCCCAAGTTGATAATCTTAAAAATACATTGGGCAGTGATAGTTGCTATGCCCCATCAGAAGTAGTTATAACTTGTTTCCCATGTAAAATCAAAACATCTTGTAAGAGAACTATATATATTAACAAATAGTCCTAGAAGATTGTCTGGTAAGTGATCATATTTAAATCCATCAGCTACCATATATCTTATTCAACAAAAGGAAGGAGGTCCAAAACTTCAGAATACATAATGTCTGAGCAAGAAGAGCCAACGTGAATGAGGATTAGTACCACAATTTTACTCTCATTCAACAGAAGAAAGACAAATGGAATCAGGAATGACAAAGGAAGACACTAGAAGAGGCAAATGCCCCTATAAAGAAAAGAAGACACCATCATCATTATTATTATTAAAATATTATTTTTTGACTGGTATTGCATACCATATTCAATTATAATAAAGATAATGGAGAAAATTATACAAGGTGTGAACTATATTAAAAAAGGATGTGGAAAAGAAAAAATAAAGAACCTCCTGAACCCATATTTTGGGACCCTAGGGTAGTTCCCTAGGTTCCATAATCACATTTCCTTAATAATTATCCATAATTTTCATAAGAAAAGTATGAACTTAATATAAAAGTATAGAAAATCAACATATTCATGAGAAGAAAAAGAAGAAAGAAAAGAAATTTCAAAAAATATAGGGGCTGAACCCCTATTTTTGTTATAGTTCAAGACAACATTTTAGTTTAGGTGTGTTGATTAGACAAAATTTTAAGTTCTTACTTATTGGTTCAGGTTTTGAAGTCTTTGAGGGTTCAATATGGCATTTAGCAATGTATATAAACACACAATGAATTTTTAGTTTAATAATGTCCATTTTACAATTATAATATAAAAAAATTAAGAATATAAATGTATTTTATAACACAATATACAAAACTGCTTGGCGATTAGGCGAGGTGAGCCTCCAAGGGCGCCTAGTTGCCTAGGTATTGCCTTGACAACTATGTTGTACATAGAGTGAGGCCAACTCAGCTAATTTGCTCCAGTTTAAATGACTTCTTCTTAGTCCTCAAAATTGCAAATTCTGCTATACATTGGTAAAGCTCTTAAGATTTGAGGGAGATGATGTTCTGGCTTATTCAGGGCCCTGAAGGCCTACAAGAGAGGTTGACACATTGAGGGCTACTATCCTTAAAAATATGAGCTACAACGATGAATGACCATTGGACATGGAGTGTGATTCCCAAGTGGTTACTGATATTATTTATTTGTACACCATTTTTTTTATTATCAATAAGGTTTCTAGTTGTGTTACCTATCAAAACATTAAAAAAAAAGAATGAAGCCTTTTATATAAAATTTTCAATATCCTCCTCACAAAACCCAAATTAATTTGACACAACAGTTTGGTGTGAATTACATGGACCATTAGGTTAAGATCTTCAAAGTGATAATGAACAGAAGAAGACATGTTTGGGTCTACAGTTTTCTTCAGAACATAAACACAACAAGAGGGGTTATGTCCAGAAGGATCAAGAATATAATTTAGGCAAAACCATTTATTTGAGCTTTTTTCTGTTCCTTTCTGATCATGGGTTCATCTCAATGTGGAAGTCATATGAAGGAGATTGTTGATGTTGAAAAATCATTTCTGAAAACCTGCTAGTTAAATCCTGAAATTGGGCTATTGAGCTTAAATATTTTATAGAGCAATGAAATTGCATGCTTTGCCCTTAAAATACATTTACAATAGATTGGGGTTTGGAATGATATAAATCTTCTGAACCCTAAGAATAGTTATCTAAAGATCATCTTGTCATACAAGTTTGTGAGAAACTTATGACAATATTAGTTGTTTGATCAGGAATACATTACAACATTATCTTTCTTTTCTTTTAATTAAAAAATTATCCTTAAAAATCTTATCTTTGTGCATTCAGGAACACTTATGCTGTTAATTTGATATCAGAAAATTTATCAATAAGAAATCATAGGAGATAAAAAGTTGATAAATGCTATGTGTTCAGAAAAGAATTAAGGTTGAAGATGGAAAGATGTCCATACAAGGATGGGTGAGCTTCACGTAGACTTATGTATGCAAAACCAAGATCTTTATCCTGAAGTAAAATTTAAGAAATCTGGTCAAGGACAACACAAGGAGGTGAAGAATAAGCATGATGATATTGATTACAAAAAGAATAAGAATGATGATGAAGATGGTTGAAATGCATGTGAAAAGAGTAGATGCACCTCAAGAAGTTCTTTTGCCTGCATTGGAGATAAGTGGGTATTTGCTCCCATGAACTTAAGCATTTGTTCTTCAGTTATGCCCCCCTGAAAACCTTAATGGCACAAAATTTCAGAGATTCCAGAAATGAAGATAGAAAGATTGTTACTGATAACAACGAGGATAATGAAGTGTCAATACCATTCAATACTTGAAGAGTAAGAAAATATTCAACTGATTGCAGAACTTAAATTAATCAATGGCTGACCTTTGGTGGCATCCAGTCAACACCATGGAGCAGAGAAGATTCTGCATAACAGGCTCTCACTGCAGCAACAAACAATGTGCTCCTGAAGTATCGAGTGTTTCCATCGTAAGTCTCACCATAGTGAGTTAAAGATCTAACATCAGCCACTGGAGGAGAACCTGATACATTGCATAAGAATACATTGTTGGTTATCACTGAAAGTTTTTTTTTTTTTTTTTTTGACATTTGTGATAATGAAGTTTACAATTTGTTGGTATTTAGATCAACATTTAATTATTAGTTACTCAACTATCTAGTGTTACAAACAGGATTGTGATGGCAAAAATAATGAATGCGAACTTGAGATCAACTGTCTCTTTCTGGTTTCAGTGCTCTACAATAAAAAAATATTTTAAATTAATGCACATACAACATTGTGATACATGAAACCATAAGCATGCTTTGACAAGAAATCCTAAGACAATTTGCACAAATAATTAGAGGTTAATAGCTTCTTCTTTCAATACATAAACAGAATTTGATAATCTTTACTCAAAAGAACTATTATAAAAACGAAAGGTAAATCAAAGAAGTCTCAAAACTATACATACTCTTGCAGATTCAAAGCAATGAAAGCCACTTTTAAGTTAGTTACCACGAGACATGCCCTAAAAATTAGAAGAGTACAAAAGCATAGTTGTCAAAATCTTACAATTTATGACACAATTCACAATTTGAATCATGAAACCAAAGGGTTGCAATTTAAATTTTTTGTCTGAATCCTTTTTCTGCAAAATATTATGATTATCGTTGGAATGAATCTTATGACTCAATTCATAAATCTTATGATCTACACAATCCATGCAATTCAAATCAATTCAATTGAGACTTACTTCTCTACTTTGTCATTTTTTGTTTCTTTTTATCTTTTCCAAGGAAACCTGTTTTAAAGACCTTACTAGAAAATGATTTGTTTATGTTATTTATGACCTTTTAGAAACCATATTGAGTTTATTTTCCATCATATGTAGGTTAAAGAGCTATTGCATGTGGATTAGCTGACTTTCAAGTTGAACTTGTTTATATCATCTTAAGCTTCTAGTGTTCAAGTGGTAAAATATATTGTTTTAGGTACATAAGTAATCTTAAATTTTAAAATACAATTCATGATTCAACATTCAAGTGTCTCTACACTACACAAATATGAATTTCAGAACACAACAAAAACAATTAGACATATACCAACTAAAGGTTGTGACTTGTGAGTCATTACCAAGCTCATCATCAAAGGCAAGGCAGTATGCTTTAAGCTCACGATCTGTTTCTATGTTCATGCGTTGACCTATCAGAAATGCTGAAAGCAATGCATCATTCACTCTTCCCGATTCCTGTTTATCCAAGCCCAATGGGATAACATCTCTAAGAACACCTTGGACCTCCTCATATCCAAGATGACCTCCTGCCAAAACCTCCCTCAGTGCACCAACCATTCTCATTTCAGTAGTTCCACTACCAATATATTGGGGTCCAATTGAACTACCCATTATTGATCCTTCAGGATCTGCTAGGAAAATTATATCCGATGGAAGGGCCCGAACTAAAAGTGGCCAAAATTTGTCCATTGCACGTCTTTCCCCTTCACTCCATTGGGTAGCCTCAGGAAAGGCATTTGCTCGGATTGTCATAGCAGCAAAAAAGGCCCCCAGCTGTGCTTTAGAAACTTCCTCTTCATCTTTGAGTTCTCCCCTTGCTAAGAAGCCATAAACTAAAAATGTTAAAAAATCAACCAACATTGATCTTGAATATAAAATAGCACAATGTTTTCAAAATTCAAACATAAGTGTTAAATTCTTAACATCATAAAGTAACTCAATAACAAGCATATGAAATTCTAGTTTCCTTTCTCATATTGCTAGATGTTATATCGGACCTCTCTAAACCCATCCTAAGTTTAAACACCTACTTAATGGCAAAAATGACAAGCAATATCCAAAAAAATCAATAAAATAATAGGTACAAGACATACATAATCCTATGATTCCCATCAAAGCTTTGTATGAATAAACTCCAGTAGGATACATCTTCCAAATTCTCCTTGGAGCTAATTAGTAGTACACAGCAACAGCTGTCAAGATCTTATGATTTATGATAGGATTAAAGGTTCAAATAATTAATCCCAGAGGTCGCAATTTGAATCTTACAATTGAATCATTCTATGAGAAAATTTTACAATTAGTGTTCAAATATTATGATTTGAAATTGTTAAACTTCGTCATTTATTTATTTTTTTTAATTTTTTCAGGAGATTTTATTTATATTTTTGAAAGGTAAAGGTAAATAGATGTATTAATAATAGGAGAGAACTCTGGAAAATATTTACAAAGCAGGTCCCTTTGAGATGGAAGGGGACCTCGCCACAAAAGAAAACAACTTAGAGAAGTTACAATTCAGAATTAGGTTCATCCGGCTCAAAAACAATATTGAGCCATTGATCCCTGAAGCTGTTAAAAGAGTCCAGCAAAATCTTGCTTGATAAAGGCCCAGCGAACCATGAGGAATTCTGCCTCACCAATCACTGCCTCCAAAGGAGCTAAAAATATGGCTGTTTGGCTCATGCCAAAGAGCCAGGCAGATTGCTAAAGAGGCTAACCGTCATAGATGAGCTACCCTTTTAGGTCAGGAAGCAAAGAGCTAAGGGATATTTCTAGGAACTTAGGAAGCAACCATGGACTCTAAAACAGCCTAATGAAATGCACCCAGATAGCATAAGAGAAATGGAAAAAAATCAACAGATGATTGGCTGATTCCCATTTAAAACCCTTACTACAATAATACTTATTTTTTGGTAGAAACTATAATAATACTTATTTGCGTTACATAAAATCTATTTAAAAATCTTTTGATTTTACTTCCCATCATATATATGTAGGTGAAAGAGCCACTTTATAAATAATTGATTTTAAAGTGGAACTTGACAATATAATCTTACACTTTACGAGTGGTAAACTTCGTTGTGTTAGTTACCTTGGTGGATGTGGATTGAAAATGGCCTACAGTGATGTTTCCATATAGTTAAATTTTTAGTTTGTATTTTCTTCTTTTGACAATTTACAAAAATGAAATAACTTTATGATTTATGATACGCTTCATGATTTGACTGGATTCAATTCAACCTCTTCTACTATTTTAAGAACAATAACATAGTCACCTTGGAAAAGCTTAAACAGAAATAACAACAATAACAATAATAAACAGAAAAACATCAAGTCATCAACCAGGCGTATGAGTACGTGTACCTCTATTGAATCGCGTTCTTCATGTATTGTTCACGGTAAATAATAGAATTGAGAGCAGATATCCCGAAACAAGACTATATAACAATGACGACATATCGTCCTGAGGGTGAGGGGAGAGGACAGGGAAAAGAGGAAGGAGAAACAGACCTGATCTGAGGATTGTCTCCAAGACCTTGTTCGCCTGTTCTTCTCCAAGAGGCCTTGTCTGTGTCGGACCCGTACATATCCTAGATTGAGCTTCCAATAGAGTCTGATTCGGCTTCGGGATCTTGGAACTGCGATACGAAGTAGATATGGCAGGATTTCGAAGATCGGATTCTGGAAGTCCCAACTGATCGATGATTGCAGAATCCAATGCGGCTTTTACAATCAATTTCTTCTTGTGTTGAATCAAACAGTTGCGGTCGTTTACAAGAGATGGAAAAGAGATTTGGTTTGGTAAATTCGTTACATGTCGGGGTCCATAGGTGTGAATTGTAGGAATGAAGGAGACATTAGGGTTTGGATTCGACAGAGTTCTCATGGCGTTTTTTTTGTGTTGATTTCCTCGGTTGCGACGAAGACGAATTGAGCGAATTCAACCACTCTAGTCGCTAGTAGGTACTAATAAATTCGAATCACAGTCCTTGGTCAACCGTTAACAGTTGGATTGCGGTGTAGACTGTAGAGCAGTAGAGGTTTGACAACCGTTAACAGGGGGAGATGTTACAAATTCACGGGGGTAGTGTAGGGTTCTCGTGGGCATGAGATCTCTGGACTCGGTCTTTTCTTTCAGGTTTCCAGTACTTCAAAACAATTCTTGGTTAGTTAGGTCGAACCGTGTTAGCACGTAGGTGCCGGTTCAGTAGCCATTTACTTTAAAAAAAACATCTCATTTGATCAGGTTGAAAATAATGTTACATATCACCAATTCATAGAATTGGCTATAATTTAGATATGCAGTCAAGAGAGATGACACTTGACAAAATGTAATGGCAAAGCAAGATTCATATATGCGATTCTATATAGTTGGGACAAGGCTTTTAGACAGTGGGCATGATTTGGTGGGGTTGGGGGATGTTTTAGTTGAAGAATATTTGCGAGATAGTTATCTTTGTCCTTTTAATAAAAAAATTAAATTATGTATAAGCAATGAGAGGAGATAGATCCTAAAGCACTGTGTTCGGATCTCCTACCCATACCTTCCCACACATCCATATTTGCATGTTACCATTCATGGGGAGACGATTCCAATGTGCATCTCTAACATCCTATGGGTTGGTATGGGCGGGAAGGATTTTTGTGAGTAAGAGATCTCGATATCACAAAGGCTCAATTTGGAAGGAGTACAAATATAAATACGTAGAGTACAAACCCTTGTATTTTGTATTGTACAAATTTGTATTTGTACTCTTTCTAAGATGAGCCTTAAGGTGAAAAAACCTTACCTCCACCCTTCATTATTTCTAGGATAAGTTATTTAAAGAATCTCTGAGATTTCTGATTAGTACTCAGGGCTCATTAGTTTTTTGGATTTTGAGAATGGGGAAAGTTAATACCTATGTTTTTTTAGATTTATGTGAGTCCATAGAAAATTTATTTTTCTTGAGTATCACTGGGATAAGTCGTACCCATCTCCTAGGTTGATAAATAACTTTTCCACATAAAGAAAAGTTGTCAGCACTTAGATGGGACAAAATTACCCCTTTTAATAATGATTTTTTATAGTTAAAACAATCATTGTCTTATTTATTTGAGAAATAAAAGAACATGGGTAAATACACTTACCCGGGTAAGTGCATTTAACTGGATAAGTAACTTCCCAAGAAAGCAAATAGGCCTTAAAGTATCCCTAAATTTTTTGAAATATAATGAATGATGACTTCTTAGTTGCCCATCGTCTTCATTTGCATATGACATCACCTGACTCTTGATTTTTCAAAAATCCAATAAAAACAAGTAGAAGCTCCAAGACATCAATCAGCAAGGAAAATAAATTTTAGGGAAAATTCCTGATTAGTACCCTGAACTTTGGGCCTAATGTCACTTTGGTCCCCAAACTTTAAAACATGACAATTCAGCACCCGAACTTTCAAAACGTTCCAATTTAGTACCTACCATTAACCAACTGTTAAGAGGTATTTGAAAAGACACAAATGCCCTTCGAGTGCCATCTGATTTTCTTTATTCACTATCCAAACATTGACAAAAAATAAACAATCCCAAATCCTTGTCTCTTTTATTCAAAAAAGTTGGGGTCACCAGAATGCCCACTAAGATGTGACCCCAATTTTCTTGAATAGAAAAGAAAATGATTTGGGATTGTTCATTTTTGTCAACATTTGGAAAGTTGATAAAGAAAATTAGATAGCACTCAAAGGGCATTTCTGTCTTTTCAAATACAACTTAACGGCTGATTAATGATAGGTACTAAATTGAAACTTTTTGAAAGTTTGAGTACTGAATTATCACATTTTAAAGTTTGGGGACCAAAGTGACATTAGGCCCAAAGTACAGAGTATCAATCGGAAAAATTCCCTAGATTTTATCCCAGAAAGAGGCGAACTAAAACTTGGAATCTCTACGAGTTCTCCACATCAAATTGGCCACGGAATCAGCTCCTCTATTAGCCTCTGTAAAAACGCTGTAGCAGGATAACCCAGTCTATTAATGATAACACGAACTTCATCCAGCTACCATCGTTTCCATTTTTCATCATTTTAAATTGATGAGGACGACTCTGACTCCACCATCTTGCGGTATCTGCGGTTCCAAGCAATGGTGAAGCTTGTTTTAATGGCCCAAAGTTTCGCCAGATAGTTTGAGGCATGATCAATAAACAGGGTAAAACTACCCATTCATTCAGTCATTTGGAACAGACCACCAGCTGCTCTGTTCCATATCAGTTTGTATGGCTAGCCAAAAATCCTACTTGCCCATTTTTTTTTTTCTCTAAGCACGTAGTCTCTGAACAGCGGGATCCCAGTCCCGCCACTCACTTAACGCCTTTTGCTATTTATCCGTCACCTCAGGCTGCAACCAATAGAAATGGAGCCTAAGGTGTCTAAATCCTGTATCGACTTGGAGTTGGAGATGTCAAATGAGATTATTCTGAATATTTTTGCGTTGAGTTCAGTCCCATTGTCTGAGCAGTGTAGTAAACAGTGCCCGGGGCTGTGTAATTAGGAAGTGTAGATCGCTAGCTGATATCAATGATCATATTAGAGAGCTTCACCTTTTCTCAACGCTGCCAAGTATGTAGTTTGTGTTGATCTGTAGGAATTAGCACGCGCACAGGAACAATTTGCAAAAGATATTCGTGATTTGCTGGAATTAGTCCTAAAATATTTCAGCACATCAGTACAATTCTATGGCTATGCAAATTCAGAAACTTGAGTTTTCAATTCAGCTTGGAACTTGAATGGATACTTGATCGAGTAATAATCGAACTGACAAAGGAGAGATATGAAGCTGGATACCATTTGCAAGCACATCTGACCTGTACTTCAAATTCAATACTGTTTGATTCATAATCAGTTAGTTTGGCATTCATGACACTTCACATGGCACCTTTTCTCTAATCCAATCCATAACCTTGATCTTTCTTGTGAATCGTGTATCTACTTCTCACAAACGGAGAGCTTTATAAGTGATAAATACTGGCAACAGATATTTGTGAAGAGCACCCTGAAGTCAAATAGTTCAGGAGCAAATTTTCCTTGGTGCAGGAAGGCCTTCACGAAAAATATATGCCACATCAACAAAACTAATAATTTAAGAAATGATTTGAGCGCCAATAATTTAACAATGGATATTGCATTAAAAAGAAGGAAGGATAAAACCGGATTTATGTAGCCGACCCCATATAGTTGGGATAAGGGCCACAAGGCTTGGTTGATGAATAATGATGATGATGATCAACAAAACTAATACATGACTTCATTCATTGTAAAGAGTACCAATTTCAGTATTAAACAAGAAAGTTGTAAATGCAAATAAAGAATAGATGCACTGACCTTGGAGGAAAAGAGATGGCCACTGATAGTTTTCTATTGAATTATATACAGTTCTTGCTTGGCAATAAAGTAGCGTCCAATAACACTGCTTGGCTCCATGATAAACTGCTCCTGAAACGTTCCCATTCGTTTGCTTGCTAAATCAGGAGGGATATCTTGAAAATTGGGCATACCATCTAACTGCATCCCATGCCCACAAATAAGGAACTGATTACCAATAATTAAAGACCCTGATACACGAATTGCAATGTCATATTGGCCATGTGCACGGCATTGAAGTTTTTCCACAACATGTACAAGTCTTTCAGGGGGCCAGTCACCAGTTAATGTCCTCCGTAGATTTGACAATGCTGCAAAGATATTATTTGGGCCTATGTGTACCTTCTCTGAGAAGCTAACAAAAAGAAAGTGTTTATTAGTAATTGAAGAAAGCTTCATGATCATCTGGATCTCTAGATACACCATCTTGACATTTTCTAGCCTAATATTTCCAGAGTAAAAAAACCAACCCTTAATTCTTTGACAAATGCTAGTATAGAAATGTGTACAGATAATCATTCATTACCTAAAAGTTGAAGACTCGTTATACAAGCCTTTCATATGATTCCAGAGCTCGTCAGGTCCATCAAAAAGTAAATAGTAGTGGATGGTAAGCATCTGGTCAGTCGGTGAAAGAATAGATTCATAAAGTCAATATCAATCTTCAGCTTTAGGTGATATCAAGTTAACACGCATGGAGATAATATATATTTACTGGAAACTTTAATAGACATAATAGCAAATTGGTAATGTTGGGCCCTCATATCTGACATCTATGTCTACATTAAGGTGACAATATATGTGCCTATATCCAACTTACATAGACGGGCAACATTTTCATGGACAATGGACAATAGAAAAGTATTAGACTCACATCAGCTAAATCCTTCATCCTTTGTGTTGGATCAAAGACACTTTTGACAAATGCTGCTAGGTCTACTCTTGCATTTTCATACTTTGTAATAAAAGGGTGAGAGAGGAGCTGCAAATCATTCAATAGCAAAAGATGGTTAATACCAAAATCCAAAAGTGTAACTGAACAAGAATTACACAAGCACAAATAGACTTGTCATGAAACACTTTAAGATTCACACATATGGACAAATAAAAACAGAAATTTCCTATAGTGCTACAAAGAATGTTGTATGCTTTCCAGTTAGAGGAGCATATGTTCTACTTTTCTAAGAAATATTGATATTTGCATAAATAACATAATGAGCAAGATGGGACAAAGAGGGCATTGTCTCTTAAGATGCCAACTTGCTTGGTAGAGTGCACAAGTATTGAACCCATAGACCTGCGTTTGGAACTATCTCTACCCAATAACCTACCAATCACTATCCAAAAAAGGGGAAAAAGATGAAGAAAAAAGAAAGAATAGAGGATATTAATAGCCTGATGACGAAGGAGTAATTTCTATATAGGAATGTCTGAAATATATTATTGAGCACATAAATGGAAATAAGACAATAGATGTCAAGTGTGAATCATTTTATAAATCAGATAATTGAAGATGGTCTTAAATATACTGTGTAATAAACAAATCACTGGAATAAAATACAAAAATTGAAAGGGTTGGAACTTCTAGAATGTCAGAACTATAATCCTTCAAAAATAACAAAACAACAACACAACAAGAGTTAGCAGGATATTTCCTAACATTAATTGGTCATGGCTGTACAAGACAAACCCTTGCCAGGAAATTCTTATCCAACTAAATTACTTTTAACCAATTCAAACATCCTAAGGACCAATCGTGCTCAACATGAGTCCGGATCTCCTGCCCACATTTATTGCAGCCACACATGGAGAACATCTCATCCTCTGCATAGTATTATGCAGGGGGAGATGTTCCCAATTCACGGGGGGTGGTGTATTGTGGGTAGGCGTGGGCAGGGTTCTCGTGGGTAGGAGATCCGGAGTCACTCAACATTGCCATGTTTAACCCATACTGTAGTTACATGATATGTTTAGGATTAGGAAATATAATACAACTATCAACCAAATCAATAGCACATGCAGTGATATCTATTATTTTGCTTATGCAGTGATATCTATTATTTTGCTTTACCTGCTCTGCTGTTGGTCTTGCATCTGGATCCTTCTGCAAGCAAGCGTCAATAAACGAGCAGAATTCTGGAGAAAGTGAGTATTTTGCTGGTGAAGGAGATGGATCATCCAAGATCTAGCATAAAGTACATAAGATTGTAAACAATATAACAACTATATGGAAGTAGATGGAATAAATGTCAGAATGCAGAGAGAAGCATGGTAGCACAGACACAAAATGGCAATAGCCGTGTTGAAGGCCCTCCCTAAACTCAATAGCTGACCATGGTCTTGCATGCAGTAATTTCCTAAGTTAATCTGCTAGCCATTCTGGCAACAGACATTGACAAAGCCATACAACTGTCCGATGCAATACTTAGTTATAATGACACAATGACATCATAAGGCTTCAAAAATAATAAAATCCCATAACCATATAGATGTATTATGGTTTTAATAGTAAATTCTTCAATTTGAAAGAGGTTGCATTATAAAATCCATGCCAACACATACATATACTATGATGCTTCAAAATGTTATAGTTGGATCTGGATAAGGTCTCAGAAGTTACAGTACATGTTGGGCTTGCTTGGGTATGAAGTTTGTACCAGATTCTTACAGGATCAGTACCAGGCCAGCCTTTGTATGATCTAAAATTGGCCCACTGCCAACCAGATAGTACTTCATAATATATTAACATGACATCCTATATATCTAGTTTCAAGAAAACTTTGTATGACCAGTAACATAATAGCATATATTAACATGATAGCAAATTGGCATTATGTTATGTCATGTTGGTTATGGTGTTACTGAAAACTTTAATAGACATAATAGCAAATTGGTAAAGCCTGAAAATTGGAAGTTTTGTTGCATCACCTGTAACATAAGACTAACTGGTCCTTCATTGGATGTATAGGGGAACTCTCCTGTACCACACTCAAATAGAGCTAGTCCAAGGCTCCAAATGTCAGCTGGATAAGAGTAGCTCTCATTTCGAATTCTCTCTGGTGACATGTATGTTACAGTGCCAACAAAAGTAGCACACTGGTAAACCATGTTGACACATCAGTTAATCAAATATTTTGTATTTACTTTTCATATCAAGTTGAAGCAATAAAAATGAAAGAAAACATCTCAAAACAACAAATCCATAACCCATGATACGAAGTAATAGAGTTGCAAGAAGTATAACCATAACTAACCATTGCCATTGAATTCTCTAAACCAGCACTAATGCCAAAATCAGTGATCTTGGGCTCCCCCTTGAGGTTTATGAGCAAATTTGCAGGCTTTATGTCTCTGTGAACTAAATGTCGTACTCCATGCAAGTAGCTTAATCCCTTGACAAATGACACACAAGCTGTAAAATGCTATGGCATGCTGTGAATCAAGCGAAGCAGTGCATGAAATAAAAAAAATAAAATAAAGAAAACAGCAAAGGAAGGCACTTACATGCAACAGTTTCTGAATCATAGATGAAAGAACTGGTTCTGGTATACATTTTTGCACTCTTAAGACATCTGCAAGGGACCCTCCATCCATGTACTCTAAAGCGATACTTATCTGCCCTGAGTCAGGAGTATAAAATGCCCCATGGAATTCCACCAAACCTTGATAACAAGGTGCTTCACATAATGTCCGTATCTCATTAAGAAGTTGTTGCCTCTTTTCCTTTTTATACATTACAAAATCATATGCATAAGAAAAATAAAACATCATGGTATCTGAAGAAGAAAAGAAACTCCTCTTAGTCTCTTATATTTCCATAACATCAACCTCTATTTTCTTGATTATGGATTATGTATATCCGGGCATGGTCCAGGTTTTGGATTTGATAGATCCAATCTGATGGTACATCAAAAGGAACACATACAATTATAAATAAGGCATGCATACAGTCATTACACTAAATAATTTTTGATTTCTTCAAAGAAGTTTACTTACGTAACATTGCAGATGAAAAATACCGATTTAAGACCCAAGGAAAATCAAACAGACAAGAATAAAAACAGTTCAAGCAAGAAGAACCAAACCTTCTCAAAGATATTGATCTTCTTTAGTGCTAAAATTCTATGAGAGGGTATATGGATGGCTCTCTGAACAACACTGCTTGCACCACTACCTATGGCACCAAATACACGCATTTCATGAGAAGCACATCGGTATGTCTTCTCACTATTATCTGTTTCATCTATAAGCACAGATGTGCGCTTTTGCAATCCAAGCTCATTGATGTTGTAAATGCCACAAGATCTGCTTAATAAGTTAACAGTCCCACCATCTGACAACTTTGGAAAAGCAAGAGGTGTATTAGGAATTTAGAATGAAATTTATCCCTGTATGTCAGCATAATAAAGCATACTTACCATATATGACTCACAAAGATCCAAGGTTGTTCCACCTGGGAAGCCTTTTTCAGCATCAAACAAAGGAGTAAGCTTCTTTTTCAGCTCTTCCAGCCCAGCCATGATGATATACTAATATTTTTTACCATAATAACAATGTAGAATCATTAAGATCTTCGAAACAGCACTGTCTAAGTAGAATAATCAACTCCCTGCAAACAAAACCAGCTTCAGACAGCTTTATTTACATGCTATGTTATTACTAGGTAGACCTACTTGATTTTAGAGTTGGAAGCTCCAGTGAGAAAATGGAGATAGAGAAGAAGCATTTTGAAATCAAGGTAACTGGATTGACTTGCTGTACTTCCACTAGAAAGAGGTCTACACAGCTAAAACCATATCGAAATGAATCCATGGTCACCCAGGAAACAGTGCAGGTGTGCAAGAAACAAATAAAACTCAAAGACTAACTAGTTGGCGTGTTTCCTGTACAATGAACTTGAAAAACACCACCAAATGTATTCTCCTTCTATGCTTTATCTTTATGCAGAGCTTGATCGGAAACTCAGTTCTTGCTTCTAGTATTATTTTAGAACGAGTGAGAGGAGGGATCAACATGCATGCTTTATACATAACATAATCCATCAATAAAAAGTGCTCTCTTTATGCAATTTATTTTCAAACCATTTCAATTTAATTGTAAAAAAACTGATTATGGTCTTAGAAAAAAAAGGTTCGATCTTTAAGACAACATAAGAAAAACGTGAAACCCAACAAGCGGGGCTCCTAGAGATAATGCAAACATTCTAAAGTTACATTGTGGAAATTGTGAGTTTTTCAGCATTTCTTAGTCATCCCTTGAAGTAAAAACAACGTATTTTATCTGACTTATCAATGACCCGGCAAACTATAACTCAGCATCCGAATAATACAAAAGTCATAGTATTTACACCAATTCCTTGAAACGGAGGCAAAGTGAGAAAGGAAAAGAAAACTGAGGTGGATCGAAGTTAGGAAATATGGACATTTCTACATTTTCTTTAAGACCAATTACAGAAGCAATTTGTACAATAATTCAAGAAACGGAGCACAATCTGGTGAATTATGAAGAATCCCTAGACGCATCTAAAGAAATCGGGTCCAATTGCCACCTTAGTAAAACAAGTTCAAATTCACTGACTCAACTGGTAATCTTTCAAGACAAAACGGATAACGAACCTCCTGTTGGGGAATAATTAACAGAAAGAGGATTGTAATCCAGAAAATAGGGAAGAAACAAAATGGAGAAAAAAAGGGGCTAACTCAAAGTAACCTTTTCTCTAGCGAACAAGGACCAGAGTTTCTGAATGGGAAATCTTCGTTTCGAGTTTCACCAAGCTACCAAAATTCCAATTTGGATTTAAAAGCGAGATCCAGACTACCCAGTAGAAAACAATTCATTAAAAAATGTAAAACTAAACAATTCCCAGAAATAACAAAAAAATTCAACACGAAAAGGAAAAAAAATACAGAATTCAAAAGGGAATCTTTTAACAAAATACAGAAACAGAAAAGTTGAAGAAGAGGAAATTGTAGAGGTGAAGGGAGCATCACATACCGGTGAAATGGGAAGACTAGACGCGAATGGAAATCCGTTTAGTTGGAATTCCGGTTTCTTCAGTTTCAGCGATCGAATTTCTGCTTCTCGTAATTCCGCATCGAATGAACAAGCCACGTAGTTCCCCAAAGCGATGACACGTGCCCCGTTAGCAAATTCACTTCACGATTCAATCTCCTGCTCACATGATCCCTACTCAATCCTTCCAACGCGTCACTACAGCTGCACATTGTCCGTGGGCGTTTATTGATAAAACGCCACAACATTAGCACTACATAAGCGTTGGCGTTTGCATATGAAGCAAAATAAAATAACTGTTTGGTTTTATCATTTATCAAATAAATGGTAGAAAACTGAAATGTTTTAATTTTTGTGTATGAAGCATTTGTAAAAATTCATATTCTTGTTTTTCCCAATATCTCAATGTTTCTTAAAACCAAATGCTGATGTGGCGCACTTGAATAGGTATTAATTTGAGGTAGAGAGTAAAAAACATTTAAAGTGAAGCGCAATCAAACAACAAAAACAATAAATGTTTAAAGTAAAAAACGTTTAAAGTGAAAAAGTATAAATAAACGTTTAAAGTGAAAAAATATAAATAAACGACATATCCGTAAATGCCCACAAAACCAAACACATATACCTCCCGTATTGCATTACCATTCATGATGGGGAGATGCTCCTGATGTAAATGTGACGTGGGTAGGTGTAGGTAAGACTTGTGGGTAGCAGATCTGAATCAGAGCTACGCTTCATTTCATCAACAATCTTCAACATTCTCAAATCTCAACCATCTTGATCTTGATGGAATTGGGATCTTCTGCTAACAAAACATGTTCCATCGTATATGAGATGTGTGGTGTGAGATAATGTTTGTAAAGGGAGTGGTCTATTGCAGTCCTTGCCACACCATTTTCTTATGGAGTCTGTTTGGATATGCTCCTCGCACCAATTTCAATGCGTCTCAGACATAAGGAGCATCTTTCATATTTTGTATTATTATCTAGGGTAAATCTCTTAAACTACCCCTACTATTCACGAAATTGAAAAACTGTACCTTTATTGTTTACATATTATCTTAAGTTATCCTTAAGTTTTCTGACAATTGACATGCCCGTAAACTCTAACGGAAAAAAATGAAATATTGAATTTGCCCTTCACTATTCATCAAATTTTTAAAATAAAACCCAACTGATGAAAAACCCCTGATTTGCAATTTTTCCACATGCAAAAATGGAAAAATGGTGATTGGGATTTTAGCATTTAGCGGTGTTGGATGCAGCTACTATTTAAAGCCCCGGATGCAGCTATGGTCGAGCATTTTATTGCAATCAACGGGGATCAAAGACCGTAAAGCTTCCCCAAAGCACTAGTGGAGGATGGCTAACGATCTTGTAATCAAGTTTTTATGAATCCTAAGAGATTTAATGAGTTTCTTTATAAGTTTGATTTTTTTTTTCTACTTGGCAATTCCTCTATTGCTATAACCAAAGCAACTAAAATGAAACGAAAGCCAATAGTATCTCGAAAGAAAGAGAAATCGAAGGAATCTAGGGTTCTTGATTTACCTTCCAGGAGTTGGGAATTGCGGAAATAATAGAATGAAGAGAAGCAATGGAAGATTTGTAATGAAGATGAGCCTCTTCAAGAGCATCACCACCCATTTCTGAGTGATGAGACGAATCAGAAGCATCACCACTGGAAGAATGAGCTACCGGCCACAAGTTGGGTTACAGAGTTTGTCATTCATGGATGAAAGGTTCTGAAAGGCTGCTTTGATTGTGTTCTCTAAGTGCTTCAGCCCCTCCACCACCAAATCCTACGTGCTTTTTGTGTTTGATATCATGCCTTTCTCTTCCATGAGCTTGGTAAGTTACCAGTCCTAACGTACCTAGATCTATCTAGAAACCTACTTTCCGAGGCAATCCTGGCGGAGCTAACCAAGCTGAACCTTGCAGATAGCTTGGCCGGGAACCCTAATCTCTGTAGTGTGGAATTAGTAAAACCATTCCCTCGATGCTTGAAAGTAAAATCCACCACTGCCTGGTTTTAGTCGCAGTTTTTGACTATTCCGATTCCTCTATTCCGCGGTAGGTTCGACTAGAAAGGGATGTCGAGCTGATCACAATGGAAGGTGGGATGAGAACAGAACTAGTGGAGGATGGGATCATAAAGCTTCCCCAAAGCACTGACATCGACAGTGCAATTTGCCGTCCGTAAGTTGTAGTGACGACCACAATACCAAAATCACTGCCACCATTGCAACTTCCACAAGGGTGGTGAACAATAAGGGTATTTTAGGAATTTAAAATAATTATCCCTCATGTCACATGTGAATGAAGTGTAACAGAAGATTAACAGCAAGGGAGGTTTTGGACAATTGATAGAAAACTTAAGGGTAATTTAAGAGAATATGTAAATAGTAAAGGTACAATTTGTCAATTTTGTGAACAGTAGGGATAATTTAAGAGATTTACCCTATTATCTATGGGAAGATATTAGTAATACACAATAGGATGGGACTGTGGGAAAAGTGTGAGGTGCACTTTGTGAGGAGTAAATTCCGATTCTTCCCTCTCGTCATCCTATGTAATAGGGAGAAATGCCATAGCCAAGGCTGGAAAACTATTGGATGAGGAATTTAGATATACTCCCAACAAACTCTCCAAACATTGTCACAACATGCCACTACACCTGTATATTGAGAACATTTCTCCCTTATGACAGTATTGGGAGCATTTTATTGGTAAGAGATCTCTACCATAGAATCTGGATATGCTCCTCACATCGATTTCACAGTATGTATCAGTTGTACATCAGAAACATCTCCATTCTTGTATGTTATTATTCATGAGAGATGTCCCCAATGTACAATCGGATGTAGTTGTGAGATCCATGTACCGTGAGAAGCATATCCCAATACCCTATCATGGGCAACAGGGCAAGATGTTTCCGGTGTACAGCTGTAAGGCTGTTGGGAGTTGGGACCCTGGGTTTAGGACCAGATCCAAATCCAGTGGATGTGCGGTGCATGCCATGGTGATTTTGAGGGCATGCTTTTTTTTTTTATTTATTTTTTTGTCATATGAAGTGTCAGTATTTAAGGGAAATATAACCGAACCGGTTATATTTTAAAACATGCAATAAGACAAATTTGAATATTTACTATTATCATACATTCGATGGGTTTGGTTTACTTGATATAACCGAACCGGTTGAACCAATTATAATGGTTTTAATTTTGAGTTTTGTGCCTCGATTATAATTGGGTCAAGACTGATTTTTTCTGTTTCACATACCGGTTAAGACCCTTATGAATAATGTTATTAATAATTAATAATTGGGTCAAGACTGATTTCTGGTTATTTATAATTTTTGTTATATTTTATGTTAAAAGAGTAAATTTTATAGAAGGTATATAAGATAATCTTGATTAAAATGCTTGTTTTATCAAATATATTATCTCAATTAATAATTGGCTCAATTCTAGGTTTATTTTATATATAGAACCGGCTAATAATTAGTTTGGAACTAATCCACCCTGAACCTTTATTCTTGAACCAGACTCAATCCATTGACAATTCTATTTAATGAATGCTATATTAAATTATGATTAAGCAAAATGTTTGGATATGGTCACTGATCAGAACAAAATGCCAAAAAAAGATTCATATAGCATAACCGTATAGTTTGGATAAGACTTGAACGATGATGATGATCAGACAACTATTCGCTTTATTGGTAAGAATTTAAGACTTCAGGGACACGTTTAGCTAGGGACAATCTAATGCTTAAAGTATCTATTAACACCAAAAATAATACCCATAATAACAATAGTTCATTTTAAGGTAGAATTACTAGGACTGATTACACTTTGAAATTATACGCAACAATAAATGATGTTGCATAGGAATTGGGAAGGACTTTACTACTTATAGATTAATTCTCTTTTTAAGGAGATCTTATTTATTAAATAGTCCACTAAACCTTAATAATTATATATCCACGAGCTCAGATCTGCTAACCACAATACGCTGGCACATGTCAGCCACAAGATGAATATATAGGAATATGTTTTTTGCTCACACCAGATCTTGTTTCCCAGAAGATATATACTACAGCTGCAGATCGGTAACAACTTCCTTGCATGATAATATACAATTATGAAAGATATTTTTAATGTGGGGTTATTGGATTTTGTGTAGGGACGGCAATGGTCCGGGTTTGGAGAGTATTTTGTAAATTTTAAAGTTTAGACTATTTGCCTCTAAAAACCTCTCAAATCTCAATTCATATCTTCCACAAAACCCATAGTGGATTGGATTTTGAGAATCCAAACCTTTTCCACATATGAAAGTGCAAAAACCCTATCTAACCCTACCCTATCCACATTCAAGGGTAGGGGCGGGTTGGGTAAAAATCCGCATCTAATTTTCTATTATTTCTTGTTATATAAGCAATAAATAAGTAAAATAACACAAATAAACATCAAGATTTCTAATTATTTGATTAAGAGATGTAAAAAATACATAAACTATCAATTATCCTTCACATAAAATTCAAAATATTATTAAATCCAACACCTAGTACATAAAGTTTATATGCTTTCCAACAATATGTGGGTCGGAGAGGGTCGAGTTTAGCCTAATACCAGACCCTACTCGTATCCGTATGGGTTGTAGAATCCCCAAACCCGTACCTGCCCCAAAACCCGCCATTTGAGCAAAAAAACCTGCCCCATCAAGGAGGGTAGGGGCGGGTACCCACTAGGTAGGGTAGAAATTGCCATCCCTAATTTTGTGATCAGCCTATTGTGGTCAACATATTTAGACTCGTTAGGATAAGTTTGGATCTACTTGGTCATAGGTGATTCTACTTTTTCACAATAGATGACGAGGCCGTGCTTGCTTGCTTTTTTTTTTTTTAATTTTTGAATGTTGGATCTTGGGTTTGGAGACAAAGGCAACCTACCACAAGTGAACGCATCAATGTTTTGGACATATGAGGCTCACCTAGGACCACACTTTATGCGTATGGAACAATGGTGTATTCACTCCTAAGGCTACATTTGTTTGGGGTGTAAATTCATTTTTACACCGATGAAAATGGTGGTGCCGGTTCAGTGGTCGATGGAAAATGAAACTGGATGGATTTGAATTTTTACATTGATGGAGTTTGGTTGTCACAGAGTAAAAGTGAAGCTTTCCATTTTGTTTTCGCTCAGAAACTCTTCCTTTCGTTGGAC